ATAAGCGTGTGCATTTAGATCATTGTATGGAATGTTGGAAACGGTGAGATCTGCACGCAGGATGTGAATGGCCATACGCCGATCATGCATGCTGGGGCCAGAGCAGGAGCCGTTGCCGGCACCTTGAAACCAAGGCAAAAGCGCAAATCGTGCCGACCAAGGCAGCTGTGAGCAACGTGGCGGTGGCTGCACCGGCTGTTGCGCGACAAGCAGGCGAAGACTCCTTGGTTGTGCAGAGCTGCACGTGCCAGGTTCAGGCACTACTGGATTTCGGTGGCAATCCCTCGGTGGTGAGTCAGGAGTGGCCGTGCGCAGCGCGTGTTTTCTTGCTTTGGGCGCTTAGACTGCATCTGCTAGAGGTGGACTGCAACACGCCCTCCACGCTTGCAGCGATGCACGGGCGGAAGCAGGTGGCATTGAACCAGGTGCAGCCTCGAACACCCTACTTGCCTGCCCTGCTGCCAGTGCTACGATCTCCTGGTCTGGGCCGGGGCTTTCGTACCAGCACTGGAGGAGAGTCAACTCAATCTGAATCTGTCAGTCGCTTCTTCCTTCTTTGTGGATTCGGATGTGCCGACTCTTCAGCAGGAAAATGGCTAGCAGCTGATTTGGTGAGATGCGATAATGCACCACCCAGCTGGGGCAATCACAAAGATTTGATTGTCGCATGCTGGCGCGACCTACGCAGTATTTCTGCAGCTCCTTTGAGAGAATTCGCACACGGCTCCAGAAAACTGAGGAGCGGTGACGTTAACGAACCTCGTTTCGAAGCCTGAAAAGCTGATGCTGCTGATATTCTCGGACCGCGGCGGACCGCGGATGCAAGCAAATCGGACGACTCAAAAGAAATGGTCTCGGGCCAGTAGGGTCATGCCCAAACTCCCCAGGCTCCCCAGACTCCACTCCGCCGAGTTCAGGGCTTGGTCTTTGCTCGCTTCTCGGAGGCGCTGGCTTCTGAGCCCTGCAGTGCGAACGGGGGCGGCTCCGTTTCCAGCGACGCGGGAAGCGCGCGGCCGAAGGCGTGTCTCCCAAAGCTTGGGGCTATGCCGGGAAACAGTACGTAGGAATGCTCGGAGGTAGTGTCCGAGCTGGCGAAGCTGGATCCTATTGTTCGTGACTTCGCGCGTGCCCGAGTGGTGCTGTGCTGGGCTTGGGGGCCCGGCCGTGGCGCCCAGAACCGAGGTCCGGGATGAGTTCAGGCGCGAGCGTAGAAAGTGCTCCGGTCGTTGACGTAAGTGTCGCAACTAAGTGATGTATATAATATGCATATTATATGGATCATCTATTGGCCCTTGAAGTTGGAGATTGGAGGCTCAAGAAGAAGCTCCGCGAGATCGAGGCCGTCGCGGCTCAACTCGGCGCTTTCAAGGCGTTTTTGCCTTGTCGGAGGCTCTCGAGGCCGCCGGCGCTTCGGGGAAGACCCTCGAAGCCGCCCAGGCCAGTCGGCCAGATTGATAGATGGGTTTGGGTTTTCGGGTCTCGGGTTTTGCGGCAGGTGGCCAAGGTGTCCAAGAAAGGTTCTGGACTCACCGAAAAGCCCGTGGCCCTCAAAAGCCCCTGCCGAGTCCTTTCAAGGACAAGTCCTCTCCGACCTTCGCCTGGTGGACCAGCACATCTCGGAGGCGCCTGCTGCGGTTCTGCCTGCCCTGCCCTGACGCTTTCTGCGCTGCCTCCAGGCGCTGGCTGACTTCCAAAAGCGCCAGCCGGTGCCGGGAGCGCAGCAGAACGAGGGTAGACCGTGCTTGCTCCTGCCATATAACCGTACAGCAGGAGCGCGAGAGGGGGCCGCAGCAAACTTTAAGCTGCAAAGCTCAAGCTGAACTGAGGCCTTTGGCACCCAGAAGCTCCGAGCAGCAAGCGGCGCCAGGTGCCTGCTTTAGAGTCGCTATAAAGGATCCAACTTGGGCGCTAGGGGGAAGGGCGCTTCACAGCAGGTAGAGCGTCGTGCGCGCGCGTCTCTCAGCCGTCACAGGTGCACGTAGCTCCGGGAGCTCGAAGGTGTGGCTGTGCTTGTCATTCTGATCTGACCAAAAGACTTCGAAGCCGAAGAGTTTTCCTGATGACGCTGGGAGCATGACACCGCCGGTGCTGAGTTGACCATGTCAGCTGATGATAGCGATGAGGATGAGGATGACGATGATTATGATGATGATGGTGAAGACTATGATGTAGATGAAGATGCAAAAGCAATCTGCTGTCTTCTTGGACGTGAACATCGCAAACGTCGTGGTGGTGGTCGTCATCGTGGTGGTTGTTGTTGTGGTTGCGGTTGTGGTTGTTGCCGTTGTTGGTTGTTGGTTATTGGTTGTGGTTGTTGTTGTTGTTGTTGTTGGCAGGTGGCGGGTATTGCACCGCACAGGGTGCAGCGATTTCGGGGCTGCAGTGTACCACAACTCGAGTTTTGGGACATGGCAGTTTGGAAGAAATGCGAGTTGCCTTCGTAGGTTTGTTTATACAGTGTGCTCCTGGAAAAAGCCGAGGTGTTTGCACATTCGCATGCCGCTGTTATCGACATTTGCGATGATCCACGCCTTCTCTGTTTCCGTTTTTTGCTTGCAAGTCGGTTTGGGTTGTCCTTTGTCTTTTTGCAGGGGCGGGAGGTGGGAGGAAAGGGGGCAGGGGCGGGTGGGGTGATAACGTCCATGGTCTCTAGTGTTTTTGTGTTTGCTTCCGTGCAAGCTAAGGGACTGATGGTAGATATTATGGTGAAGGCGATGATAATGCTGATATTGGCGGAAGAAGAGGATGATGCTACCGATGGTGGTGATGATTGCCTTCAGCACGAATCAGGATGCTGTTGTTGATGATGATGATGATGATGGCAATGGTGATTATGCTGGCGATCAAGGTGACGGTCATAAATATGATGGGTAGCAATGATGAGTAAGATGTTGATGATGATGACGGTGAGGATAGCGATGGCTATGACGATAACGATGCTCATAGCAATGGCAATGACAATGCTGCTCCGTGTTGCTGCCATTTTCATGTTATTTGTGAAACCGTCCCAATACAAGAGTCTCCAGGCCCTTGGGCTTTCCAAACAAAAAACTTTAAAACAAACTGACCCAAGCCGGAAGCAAGATAAACGACAAACATCACGGTGTTTACGACGCTTCCGTAAACACACACTGCGAAAGCGAAACAAGAACCATGGAACACACAACCGACAAAACGTCGTCTAATTCACGAAAGCCACAAAGTCGTTACAACTTATAGAAAGTCGTTCCAGGCCACAGCAACCTGAGCAAGCAGACCACGACAATCTGATCCTGGCCAACCAACGACTGTAAGTGTGGCTTGCGCCGTCTGACAACCTGGTGCACTTACAACCGTGGACCTTAAGCAGGCGCCTTAGACACCCTTGCCCCAAACAGTCTTGAACATCGCAGACCCTGCAACCCGAAACCCAACATACAACACCATAGACGACTGTAAAAAAGCGCGAACAGCTGTTGTGGCCTCCCGGTCTCAGCTTTCCAAGCTTGGTGTGCCTTTCAAAACCTTGCGTTTCCCATGAGGACACATGTGACTTGGAGACTTTTCTCTGCTTACCCAGACTGATTACTCAGCTTGCTGTGGCTAGGAAAAGCTCAGCTTACTCGGCTTGATCTGGCTTGGAAGCATTTGATCTCAGCTTGCTCAGTTTGCTGTGGAGTGGAACATCCATGCCTCAACAATCTGAGATTTGCCAAGCCCCAGCATGCTGGGAGAGCCGAGATTCTCCAAGCCCCACGAAGCTGAGCCGATCATTCAGGGATCTTACTTGTGTATTGCTTCCATCAGCCATCCCTAGACTCGGGCGAGACTTGCAAGGACGCGCGGGTCACCGGCAAAGCACACGGTGGCCGAGGCCTTTTCAAGATCTGGCTACCAGTATGGGGTTGTTAAAGCGAGAAGCTCTTTAGGTTTTGTAGAGTTTACGGGTTTAAGGCGGGATTCCTGCAAGTCACGCGAGGCAACTAGCTTGGAGCTGTTGCTGCATGAAATGTGTCTTCTAGAGTGCTAGAGCTGTGCTGCAAGGTGCTGCCACTAACATTGGTCGAGCTGGCTACACCGTCGCCGACTCAGCTTGTGAAAGCCCAGCAAATAGTCCTCTCGTAGTCTACAGCTCGCTCTCCTCTTCGAGGCTCGCGAGGACGAGTTCTGGTGAGCAGATGGCCGATGGGCACTGCAGAGCTATGCGGAAACTCGCGCACAGCCTCCCAAGCCATCTGGGAGCGAAATGAAAGTGTGGCACATGCTTGCCCAGTGCTTGTAACTTGTAGCGGGTCCACGGGTCCGTCTTCAGCCACAGTGTTGCCTCATTCCTGTGCTCTACGCCGCAGTTGTACTCTATGCTCTATAAGCGCTGACAAGAAATCCCTTAGCGTCAGCAATGCAGTTCAGGCTAACTTGCCAGAGAACCTTCATCCATGCTGAAGGCCCCGAGGATGAGGACGTGCCCACGTGCCAGAGACGAACGCAGAGCGCACCACCGGAAGATCGAAGCACCGAACGCAGCACCTACGTGAGCGCCTTGGCCAGCCGCGCAGACCAGCTCCATTTTTGGCTCCGGAAGCGGAAGCAGGGAGACAAGGACGAGAAGGAGAAGAAGGAGTCTGCAGAGTCCGAGTCCGAGGCAGAGAAGAGCGGCGATGCCTCCACCCGGGCTGACTCCAGCGCGAGCCAGAGTTGGAGCCTCCGGTCGCCTTCCGCCGCTTCGGAGTCGCAATCGGAGCCCGAGACCTTCCTCCAGGAGTTCTCCTTGGGAAGTCTCGGCCACCCCGAGGCCGAAACCTGTCTTTTTGCTCTTTCTGCGTTCTTGCTCCCTTTCGCCCCCCGCTGCTGAGGTGTGCCACAGGCCCTGCGTGAACTTTGCGAAGGGCTTCTGTGCGGCAGGCTCCTCTTGCGACTATTGCCACCTCTCTCACGTGGAGACGCCCTTGGTGACCGCGAACAAGGAACTTCGAGTCATCCTGCAGCAGGCGACGGAGTTCGACCTGCTCTCGATTGCGGTGAAGCACGCCTGGACCCGTGCAGCTGACAAGGGCTTCCTGGAGAAGGCCAAGGAGGCCAAGGTCTTGACATTGCTGGAGGAGAGACTCCAGCGCCTTTTAGAGACCAAGACCGAGACCGGCCTCAGCCAGAAGCATCAGGGCAAGCTAGATCGCTTCATGGCCAAGATGCCCTTCTCAGGACTCATGGGCCTTGCACTACGTAAGACCCAGGATGGCAGCCACACTGCCATGGTGAAAGCGGCAGTGGACAGCTTGCGAAGCAACCTGTCCCAGTAGTTACATAGTTAGGCTTAAGGGGTGCCCCCCCAAAGACGGACTTTTTCGAGGCACTTCGAATTGTTTTATCCTTCGACGAGAGAAACCACCGTCGATCCAGCGGCCCCTTTTTCGGCTCACCGTACTTCTGGGTTTCTGCTCACCCCTGCAATTCCCTGAGGGGCGGGGCCAACTCTCGGGGATCCGCCTTTAGCGTCGCACCGGAGGCGAAGACCCATGCCGATGGTGTGTGCACTGGCGAAACCACCCGCCGAACGGCGCTCTGTTCGCTGCGCAAAACGGTCTGAGTGCCCCGAGGTGTGCGGAAGCCGTGAAGCCGTGAATGCGACCTTGTCGGCATCGGTGGCAGACGGAGGACTCCGCAGCCATTGCCCAATCGAGACTTTGCACCTTGCAGCTCCGCTTCGCTCTTTTTTGCGATGATCGGAAACTTGGGGTCTTGGCGAGGCCAGGTCGCAGGCTTTCGCGGTGAGCCGCAAGACAGCCGCCACACCTTTCTGCAGCGCTTCCAGGAAAGCCGGGAAGGGGCGGAGCCACCAGCCTTCCTAGCGGTTGAGGATGCTTACGAGCGTGCTGAGCCTTACTACGAGACGATGAAGAGAAACATCATGGCAGAAGCAGTGTCCTCCTTTCGGGCTGCGGGTGCGCGAGTGCTGGATGCAAGGCCAGCGCAGGCAGGCTTGCTGGTGACCAAGCTGATCAACGGTCAAGATGGTGATCTGCAAGCATCTGGCGCAGCAGATCTTCAGCTGAAGGATAATGTGGTGGAGTTCGATGACGAGCTTTTCTGGGTGACGAAGTGCGAGGTGAGCTCTGTCCAGGTTCCTGGAGGCACTAAGTACACAGCTGAACTGGAAGGCTTCTCCTCTTCCGGACGCGAGCTTCGTTATCCGGAGGACTTTCGTTTTCACTCGGACATTATCTTGAAGCTTCGAGCGCACATCTTTGTGGGAGACTACATGAATCGTTACCGCTGCGCCCGTGAGCTCTTGAACGGCATTGGGTTGACAGACCCTCAGCTGGAGAAGGCTGTTCTGAAACCCTGGCGCCAGGTTCCTGGCACCTATACTCGGCCTGGTGCCCTTCGCGAAGACTTGATGCCCATCAACAGTGACCAGCGCTCGGCTGTTCATGGCTTGTCATCACGTCTCGAAATCATCCACGGCCCTCCAGGCACGGGCAAGAGCACAACAATCTTCCACATGCTCAGCTCGCGCTTGCCTTCGATGGATTCCGCGGCCATCGTAACTTGTGTTACCAATCAGGCGATTGACGCCGTGGTGGAGAAGTTGGCGCAAACGCACGACTCTCTTGGCGGCTTGCGCATCCTGGTCCTCGGGAATCCAGATCGAGTTGGACGGACAGCTGGGAACTACACCTTAGACAACTTGATTAAGAAGGATGAGATAGTCCTCAGCATGAAATGGGCCACAGAACTGCTATCAAAAGCTTCGAAGGCTGTAACTGAACTCCAGACCGCAAGGAGGGACCGACTGTGGAGGCCTCATCGCAGGTCCCGGCTTCAACTTTCGCTAATCGAGCGGCTTCCTTCCGTCGTTCGATATCGCGCGGAGCTCGAGGCGGAGAACCGTCAGCGCCGACACCATCAAGAGGCCCCAAAGGCGTACGACCCCCTGAACTTCTACCTGCGCCGCCTTGACGACATCAAGCGAAAGCTGGCAGCGGCTGTCACTCAGCTGAGGCCAGTCAGATTCTTGAGAAGGCGACGCTTCGGTGTTCCCTCACCTTCCCGCTTCTACGAATGGAACGTCCACAGTTTCAGCCTTCGCATTCAGAAGGCTTATCAACGCTCCGAAGAGGCCTTGAGCTTGGCCCAGAACACGGCAGCGGCGCGGAACGTCCGCAGGACGCGGGTGCTCTTGTGCACCATACCCTCGAGCTACAAGGCCGCGCAGGGCATAGCATCGAGGTGTTGTGGCTTTGTCCTAGCGCCAGTGCCGCAGGTCATGCAGCTGCAGGAAGATTATCAGGCCTGGAATCTTGCCATCCGTTGTTTACACACAGCCGCGAACTTCGTAACTTTGTTGCAAGGACGACTTCCCCAAGAGGCTTTTCATGGGCATACTGGATGAGGCTGCTGCAACTGCCGAGACCTACATTCCCTTGATCTTGCGATTGCAAGTTGAGAACCTGGTGCTCCTCATCTTTGTATTAGTGTGGATACTTGGTACCAGAAGCTGTTCTTGTTCTATATTTCGAGGTTGCTGGGCGATCACAAGCAGCTCAGCCCATTGGTCTTGGCCTCGGGCGGGGACCGCGAGATCAAGGACAAGAGCCTCGGCCGATCACACGCTGCGCTGTGCTGCGCTGTGCTGCGCTGTGCTGCGCTGTGCTGCGCTGCTACGCGGTTTTTGCCTGCATGCCGTTGCCGAGGAACGTCGACCGCAGCTTAATGGAACGGGCCATCGACAACAACCTCCGTCCCCACTCACTTCGAGTCCAATATCGCATGCCGGAAGTCCTTTGCAATCTGGTGTCAAACCTGTTTTATGGCCGGTGCCCGAGTCGAATTTTGCGAGGCGAGCGAGGGACAGGCATGGCCCATGGCATGGCCCATGGCTGCGGCTCAGCTCGCTTGAGGCGGCTCCCTTCGGACGGCAGAGACGAGTGTCACAGACCGTCTGAGTCGGCTCAGCCTCGGCGGGCCAGGGCAGCAAGGGCAGCCCAGGCACAGCATTGCTTGGCACTGCTTGGTGCACACATTTACCGCTTGATTTGTGATCTGGAGCCCGTTGTGGTGTGTGTGTGTGTATGTGTGTGATGATCTTCCTGGAAGAGGCAGCCCGAGCTGCGCTGGTTCCACGTAACCGTCCAAGAGCTGGACGTGGGCACCTCGAAAGTGAACCATGCCGAGGTGGTCCAGGTCATTGAGCTGCTGCCTGGCGCACACTGCCAGCTCTTGCTGAGACGCTGATACACTCTCGTAGGCTCGTAGGGTGCAACCGGCCGGTGGTAGTTTTGCCAAGGTTGAGATCTGATCCTGTCCTGGGCCGTACGTTCGACTCCGTGATGGTCATCACTCTCTACAAGCCGCAAGCGGCCCTGTTGCAGGAGGCGCTCGCGAAGGCTCTTGATCCCCGTCGCATGGCCTTCATCAAGGCCGGCATTGGGATCTGCGAGAGAGTGCTGTGCTGTCCGTGCTTTCTTCAGGTGGTCACCGTCGATGCTGCCCAGGGGTCCGAGGCTCCGCACATCGTCCTCTCCACTGTGCGAAGCAACTCAGCTCGGAGCATCGGCTTCGCTCACAATCCGCGACGCCTGAACGTTGCCATCAGCCGCGCCCAGAAGACCTTGACCATTGTCGGGAATAAGGACGTCTTCAACACTTCCCAACCTAACTGGAACCGCGTGGTCTCCACCTTCTGCCGGCAAGGCCAAGCCTTCGACGTATCGGTCCACACGCTCCAGAACACGGGCTCTTGGCACTTCGTACAGCAGCGGGCTCTGGAGATGATGGAGCGCAGCGCGAGCAAGGGCAAAGGCGGCAAAGGGAAGGGCAAAGGTCAGGGCAAAGGCGGAAAAGGCTTCAAGGGTTCCTCGTCAGCAACTTAACAAGGACGCTCTTTCGCGCTTGTTTTCTTTCCTTGTTTCCTGTGCAGCACCTGAGGCATGGATGTGCGGCCGCGTGAGCTCGGTGATCACTGGTCAAATCGTGGCCACTGCCGATATGGACGAGATCTCCGCTACTGATGCCACAGTTCTCAGACCCATTCCAGTGTGCACGAGAGGGGCGTGGTTGTAGAAGTGCGATTTTTGTCACAGACTGGAATCTGTGGACCACTCGCATCACATGCTTTGGTCTACAGATTCGCTTGCCATCGAGTGTATAGACTGCATAGATAATGTGGCAGTGCCGTCCTGCTTTGTCGCGTGGCTAAGTTGTAGATGCAAAGACGTCTGCAGGTGTTGCTGCCCTCCTCAATAAAGCAACGCGACAGGCACATCTTCCGTGCCACATGACACCGTCACTGCCCTGAGTTTTGCTGGTTTTCCATAGCTGATGGATTCAGCAGCCCGACATACGACATAAGCAGAAAGTGAGACGTGCCTCGGCTCACAGGAGGCTTCGCTTGGATGCTGAAAGCTTTCTCTTTTTCCCTATACTTCTTGGGTCGCAGGCACTGGTCCAGGCTAGCTTTGTTTGGATTGGAATTTCGAATTCTTGCCAGACAAAGCCAGCGAGTGCTCCGCCATGTGACAGCTGTGAGCCAAAAAGGGGAGCCCCTCACATTGTCAGCTGTCCAGGCGCTATGCTCCGAACGAGAGATTGTCCGATGTCCGACTGCCCCAAAGCCATTCTTGGCTTTGCCATCTCGATGCAACTCAGTGAATGGAACATCGTATGTGGCAGAGCAATTTTGCAGCTTGTGGTCGCAAAAGTGACACCCAGATCCAGATGTAGCTAGATTGCTCGCTAGCGATAAAGACTAGGACTTCTAGCAGGCACACATGCCAGAGCAGCGGAATGCGCGTGCACTGGAAATGGACGGCCGCGCTTGCCTTCGCAGTTGCATCTCGTGCGCCGGCCTTCTGTGGCCGGCCGCGACACTGCGCCGCGTCTGGAGTCCTCAGCTTCAGCCCTCGCTCTCACGGTGAAAGAAGCTTCCCAGCTTCCTTCCGGCTCCAGACAGCCCGAGCCGCACAACGGACGAGAGAGCGGCGGGAGCCCCGCGCCAGCCGGGTGAGCCGAGCCAAGGCGGCCACTGCAAGCAAGGCGAGGTCGACGCCGGTCGCGGTAGTATAATAATTAGGAATAGTAGTAAATAATAACAGTAGCAGCAGTAGTCACAGCAACAGCAGATATCATAATTTGTAATAGTAGTAATAGTAGTAATACTGGTAACAATACCGCCTTGTTGCAGGTGGAGGCGGTGGAGCAGTATTTGGCCCGCATCGGAGGCTCAGCCAAGATCCGCGCCTTGAAGAGTGCCCTGGCCGGCCTGGACCGCGACTTCCTGCATCTCTGACCAAAATCTCTATCCCGGTTTAGGTTCAGGGCCTGGGACTTCCTTCTCCAACGGACCTCTTCCTTCAAGGTGCCAAACCTAGCCTCACCGCCTTCGGCATGTCCCCAGGCAGAAGTATTTTGAAGTCACTTCTGACGACATTGTCAAGTCGAGGAAGGTGGGCTACTGACATTGGTGGGAATGCAGGATGTGTAGTGTAGGGAACGTAGTTCTTGACAGGGTCACCAAAGACATGAACGAAATATCAAGGAGCACCCTGGCTGCAAATGCTGCCGTCGCAGCACCTGCGCATGATCATTTTGCATCCGAGGTTCCTGAAGAGCAAGGGAAGCGCTCCTCTGACACTTGTCATGGAGACTTTCTCGGTTCCGAGAAGGTGGCTGGCCTCGCACGAAGACTTCCTTGCTCCTCGGTGAAAGACCGCCTTTAACGCTCTAGACCCTATTGGTTTGTGCTTGCAAGCCATGCCCTGCGTACGGAAGAAGGTTCAAGGCGGACGCATCCGGCTCCGTGTGCGCCAGACGGATCAACCGGAGGCATCACCCAAAAACCCTCTCCTCGAATGCTAGCTGCACCTATTCGCAGGTCGAGATCGTGGAGGATCATGTTGGTGTCTTCCAAATGCGGCCGAGCTCAGAGAGGACAGCGAAACAGGAGATCGCCCGTTTGAGGGTTTTCTTGATGAGCCAGGCCGGTGTTTTGCGTGAGTTTTTCGAAAGAATTAGCGAAAACTCCGAGTCAGCACAGGTGGCACGTCTGCCCACCTCTGTGCAGACCAACGTGTGCATCTCAAAGCGGGCACGGGTCAAGCTGCCTAAAGGGCTTGAGCCTGAGTCGCAGCTGAGGCGCTGCGCCGCCTGAAGGGCATGTGGCATCCGGATGCCGGGGTGCTCAGCAAGCCCAGCGGGGCACGGTGCAGGCGGAGCACGGGGGGAGCGGCGCAGAGGATCTGCTTCTGCCCCATTAGGCTGCCCCTGGTCAGTATCTTGGACATGACGCCGTAATTGCAGAGGCGGGGGCGCGATTCCGGCTTTGCCCCACGGGAGAGCGAAGTCGAAACGGTTGAAACAGCATGACTCGGCATGTCCCAAATGCGGAGAGGAACGCCTGCCAGCTCGTAGCTGCAAAGCGGAATAAGATGCGAAGGATTCTACTCTCGTGCAGACAGTACGGCTTTGGCGCCGTCGCAGATCCCAGCAGTCTCAAGAAAAATATTTTTTGCTGAGTTTAGGCGATGCCCCAGCTCTCGGAGCCGAAGCTGCCGACTGCAAGATGAGTCAAAACCGCCTGCAGACGTCGAGTAGTCCAGAACAGCCCCAGCTGCCATCATTTTTGCAACCCTGCGACGACGGACCTTGCAGTCAATGCGGCATGCTGTGCTTTATGTCACAGGACTGCGAGTCGGTAGCGTACGTAGGACAGCATGATCAGCATAGTATCGCACGCCATAAAGTATGAGTATGTGCGTGTGCGAACATGCACGAGATGGCAAACGCGTGCTGCAAACCTAGTGGAATGCGCAGTCTTGTAAGTTGTTGCCAAGATGACACCAACAGTCGTGCCCTGCAGCGGAGAGCTCAGAGAGAGTGAGAGAGAAAGTTTGCCAGTGGTGCCAGGTCTTTCGCTTCCTCTGCTCCGTGGAGGTCGCAGCAACCGGTCTTCACATCCCACCATCCGAGGGATAAAAGGAGCGACGCCAAGGGACTACCCGCATCCGTCTTTCGTTATGAGGAAGAGCCGCTGTGCTGCCATGCCGAAGCTTCCAAAGGGGCATTCGAATGCAGAACCCTTCGGTAGGTCCACTCCATGTCCATTCCCACAGAGCGGCAAGATCCAACGATCCAGCACATATGGCTTGGAACGCCCTTGCAGCCTCAGCCTTTTTTTAGCCATGGGCTGCGCTCAGCTGCGTGCTGGGTGCCGCAGGTGGGGCAACGGGACGAGTGCACGTTTGACCCACCTTCCTTGCCTTCCTTTGCTGCCGCAGCTCAGGTCATGGAGAGCTTCCAGGAGGACACACATGTGTGTGCTCGTGCGCTCGTCCGGCCGCATGCACGAACGCTCGCACGCTTGCTCGCAAGCACGCTCGCTCCTTCGCATGCAGACACGCTCGCACGCGCACACAAAGCGTGCATGCATTTATACGTATATATGTACATACACACACACACACACACACACACATATATATATATATATATATATATATATATATATATATACAACATACACACGCATACATATAGTTTTTCACAGCCGTCATTGAGATGGTGCTTCTGCGAAGTGGAAAAGTGTATGTATGTATACGCAATCCGGCATTGATACTGGGAAGTTCGAACGTCCGTTTCCGGGCCAGGACTTTGCGGAGTGCATCTCCAGAAAGGACTTCCGAGCTGCTACGGAGCTCTGCAAGCAGCAGCTGCAGAAGACTCCGGACAGCCGATATGTTTGGGAGCCCGGACTGCAAGTCGGACCCTTCGCAGCGCAGCACAGTGCGTGGATGTGAGGTTCTGGACTTGAGGAAGACCGTCGAAGCGTTCCTAGATGCCGCCGAGGAGTTGGAGGCTTCGAGGGAGTGCCGCGGAGAGGCACTTTGTGCCTTCGTTTCGGCAGGCTCAAGAGCAGGGAGACTTCGAGGAGGAAGGGAATTTCGTGGCGTGACGTTCGGCCCAAGAGGTTCGATGTCGTTGTGCAGGAGCTCTTGGGCTTTGATGAGCTGGCGGATAAGGTGGCCCGGGGGGCTCCGGGGCTCCGGCTCCAACTGGCTCAGCTCTGATCCTCTCTTCGTGTGGAGGCGGCTGTCGCGTGTGACAGGGCCTACGAGGCGGACGGCGGACGGTTCTGAGACCGGGGAGCTCACGCATTGCTGGAGGCAATGTTCGCCTACTTGCACGACGAAGAGCGGCTCTGGGCCGTTGGTGAGCAGGCATGCGAAAGAAGGGCAAGAGCACAAGCGAGTGCTCTCGCCTTGAAAGTGGGAGGCCGTGGGAATCTTCTGGGACACGGGGCAGCTGGAGCCGGCCGGACCTCGCCGAGCTCCTTGACAGAAGACGTGGGTCTCTTCCTATAGTCCATATAGGTTGTCTCACCTGGCTCTTCGTTGCGAGGATCGCCTGAAGTCTATGGCGGAGACCTTGACGAGGACCCTGAGCACTCGGCTGAAGCCCCTTGGCTGCGGCGTAGCCGCGTAGCTCTTCCCCCTCTCTTTGGGCATCTTGGCTGGGTCTGAGGTTGGCTAGAGCCAGCGGCATCGACAACGACGCTTGCCTCCACATTTTCCGGCAGTTTTCGACTCTGGTCGAGACTCCGAGACTGAAATGAGGAGTGGCTCTTCGAGGCCTTGGGCGAGCTCTGGTTCTTTCAGGAGAATTCGCACACTGCCAGCTTTATCTCCGCTCGCTGCTCGCTGGCCCCCTCGGGCGGCCGCAAGGAGCTCGGCCTCACCTCAGAGCCTTGGCTGGCGGAGGCCTGCGCAGAGGCACAGCCATGGCCAGTCGTCCTGCCTTGCGCAGCTCACCCTGGGTTTTTGTCCCAACTCCCAGGGGCTCAGGGGCCTGAAAGGCAAAGTCATGGAGGAGCGGAGCAGAGCGGAGCAGAGCGGAGCCTAGTGGAGGGGGGGGGAGGGCCTCTGGGAAAACGTCAGGAGCTGACCGGCTTCAGCCTGGAAGGCGCGCTCTCCATGCCCACATGCCACAGGCAGAGCGGAGGGAGTGAAGGATCCGGTTCCCATGTGCATGTGAGGCTTAAAGAGCGCCTCCTGCGGAGAGCTCTGTGACGCACTCATGCAGGCACTCCGCAACGCGAAGCCCCGCATAGCCCCGCGTCTTCTTCCTCTTTTCCCTTGTGAAGAGCAGGTGTGGACCGTCGAGCGGAGCTCTGTCTGTGGCCTTCTGGACACGTCGCTCGGAGCGAAAGTCAAAGCTCCCTTCCCGGCCCCACGGGCGCCGCGGGCTCCGAAGCTCCGAATCTCCGAATGCGAGGCCTCCATTGGAGTACGGTGTCTGCGAGGCCACTCGGCCCTCGTGGCCCTCGTGGCCCTCGCAGCGCAGAGAAAGCGCAGCGGCAGGTGCTGGCGGAAGTTCGGAGGCGGCCGCTGATCCTGCCCCCCAAGCCGGGCTTTTACCACTGCTTCTACTTGATGACGCCGCTTGTCGGAGATTTTTGGAATGCTGCTGTGAGAAGGCAGCTCCGCCCTTTGTACAGGCATGTGGTGTACACTCTGAACTGCGACTGCCCCAGACCACAGCAAAGAGAGAGGACCCGAGTGCCTCGGGTAGCGCCTGCTGCCTTCGCCTTCGCAGGTTTCAACGGTCACTTGCCAAACCGCCGCAGTGACTGCCCGTGGCCTGGGGTTCAGCGACAGCTCTGCAGACATGCTGCGTGACCTTTCGACCGTAAGCCACTCTGATGGAGCACGCTCTTAAGGCTTTACGCCTACCTCGAGTGCTGCCTCGAGTTCTGGCTGTCGGGGACCCCAGGATTCGATACAGAAGAGCCCACTGCAGAGATGCTTCACGCTTGCAGGACCGTGGCGGAGTCAGAGACGATGTCGGCCTTGCAGGGAGAGGCAGCTTGTCACCTACCAGTATAAGGCTTAGCAAGGGCAGAAGAAGTTCGTCCGTTGTCCATGCAGGCGGTGGATGCCATCGCAGCCCGGCATGATGTGTCAGGGCTCTCTTTTGTGCTCTTCAGGATTCTTCAATTCCATGCCAAGGCTGAAGCAGTCGACTGCTTGCGCGGATTGAACGAAAGCGGCTCGCAAACGACGATCAGGCGGGCAACCACCGGCTCGGCCGGCTCGGCTCTAGATTGCAGTCTGCTCTTTTTGTGCGGATGTGGCAGGGCATGCAGGTGGCTCTTGTCTCGGCAACAGGCAGGAGTCGCCCCCGGGGCGTGTTCACGGCGCCTTGCTTGCCCTCTCGATCTTCAGGCTGATGGCTTCTTCGTGTCTCCCAACTCGAGTAGGCCCGACTTGGAAAACTCCGGAACGGCACCGTTGCTTTGAATCTGTGCTTTGGCAGACCTGAAAACGAGTACGACCAGCTGCATCCCACCTGGACAGCAGCGGCTGCCTTGCTGCGGCCTCAGCTTAGTCCTTGTGCCTCGCTCCGCCTCCGCTTTCCCAGTGGAGATGACATCTCTGGAAAAACCACAAACCCAAACTCCCCTCCTCTCCCAGGCAGCTTCGACGGCAGGCGGAAGCCAACAAACACCTTTCAGATAGATCTCTCTTCCTGGACTCTTGGGGGAACCGAAACCGGGTAGCTCAACCCAACCTGCTCTGCGAAGGCGCCGGGTCCCAGTGGGCTGTGCCAGTGCTGGGCGCGACACGCCCGAGAGGCGGCATCGGAGGCGAGAAGAAGCGATATGTCAGCGATGCTTTTCTACTAATTCTACTCTAGGCCCTAGCCTTCCTGCGGCTCCCTGGACCTAGACTGCTTCACTTCTTTTCTTCGAGGTTTCTGCTACAAACCCCGGTTGCTTTCAGGTGGGCTTCTCGCAGCCGCCTGCGTGACGAACTCGGAGCACAAGGCGCTGAAGCACAGATCCGCCAGCAAAGAGCTCCGTCACGAGTACGTCAGAAGGATGACACCCCACAAGTTGTACAGTGCCAGCTTGAGTCCGCGCTCTTACTGCTGTTGTTGCCTTCCTCTCTCGCGTTGCTTTTTTTGTTGTTGTTACACTGGTGGTGCCGAAGCCAAGTCCAAGCGATTGCTCACTTCGCCGAGATTCGTGCATTGCCACGTGAGCCATACTGTCAGGCCCAGGGTGTCATGGCCCGACCACGGCATGAACTGCATGCAGCTCGGCAGACGAAGTGCACGACAACGACCAGAGCCAACGAGCGGCAGCAAAGCTCTTGAGCTCTCCGCTAGCTGTTGCGGTTTCATGCAAAAAAAAGGTCTTCTGCCACGTCGAGGATGGGGACCGACTATCGTCTTGGCTTGCATGCTCGTGGGTCGGATCTGCAGCACGAGCGATCATGTGAGAGGCGGTCTCTGATAAACTGTAGCATGATGGGAGGCTAGTCCACGCAAATGTGCCATAGCGACATCCCATAATGTAATCTGACTGTAGAATGCTTTGGCAACGTGCGAGCGTAACAGTGAATATAGTATGGCTGGCATATGCAGTCGCCATGGGTACTGAAGATGACACACATTGGCAGGCTTCGGCGCAACCTTTAACTAGCCGACTGCAATGAACACATGTATGCAACGGCATCAGCGATGGGAATGCTGATGGCATGGAGTTGCTTGGTTGAAGTTGTTCTGTGGCAACGATCCATGAAGTTGCAGCTAAGGTTCGGGAGCTGTAGAGGCGAGGAAAGGGGATGCGACAGATTCCGATGGGCCCGGGCGGCCCGGGCCCAGGAGCACCGAGCCAGGCTGAGACATGGCGGTGCCGGCACGAGCTTTGGGGTTGCAGGAGGGCTACTCGCAGGACCGGACCGGAGAGACCGGAGAGACAGTGGCCCTGTGTGGCCCTTCATTGCACAGGAGCAATGGGGTCCGTGGCGCAGCTTCGGATTGCCAGTTTCCTCAGCTTTCCCGAGGCTGTGACCCGACCACGCCTTCTTTTTTGGGTCAGGCTTGTCCAGCAGGCGGTGTCTGAGCTGAGTTGGCAGGCGAGGTGTTGCTGAGCAATGTCTCTGCGTTTGCTTCTGCAAGTCTTCAGCAGAGATGCCCAAACTCCCCCCCAAACTCAACCGACGCCAGCCGCGACGCAAGCCGCGACGCGAGCCGCTTGGGTCGTCAGAGCTGCTTGGCTCGAGCCGAGAGAGCCGGGAGTCGCCGCTATGAGCAGGCCGTTTCCCAGCACCACCGCAAGAAGAGAGACGCCCGCAACTCTTGCGAGGCCCCTCTCCGAATCCCTTCCCGGAGCCCGAGCGGGAAGGAGGCCAGTGGGGCAGCTGGCCCTGTGGCTGCAGCTCTAAATGTGTTCTTCGGTCGTGCAGGTTCGGTGTTCTTGGCATTCCAAGACCGTCTCTGCCATGATGAAGGTGCCTATACCGTCCGTCTTTGCCTGGAATCCTTGGAGTCTATTATTGATGTCGGTGAATTCGCCAAGAGACTCCATGAGAGGCAGCGGTGCGCAAGCTGTGGTCCGTGGCTCAGCCCAAGAGTAGGAATGCGAGTAGGGCAAGCACCGCAAGCACCCATAAGGCGAAGAGCTTCTTTTGAATGCATCTTGTTGCTTGCGGCCGCAGGTTCTTTGCACTGGTTTGGGGCGGTACTTCGGAGGTGCCCGCGGCCTCGGCTTGAGGTGCAACACTTCGAGTCTTGACTTCTGCAGGAGTCTCGGTTGATGAGGGCAAGTCCACGTGAGGTTGCGATTTCCTCAAGATTTTGCTTGTGATCGCAGTGCAGTGGTGTGGTTGTTGTGCGTGTGCCTTTGCCTTTCCTTCTGCTCTGCTTGGGGAGGTCGGCCGCGCCGGCGCGTCGGGCGTGTCGTTGCAGGTGACGGTGTTTGCTCGAGTGCCCGACCACCCCGCAGCTCAGCCGACTTCTCTGCGTTTGCAGGTCCAGGTCCTTCCAGACGGCTCAATGCTTGGGCATGCACATCCTGCAAGGCACGGCAACTGCTTCCCCGTGCCGAGCGAAAGGGTTGTTCAGTCATGTTCAGTCGCAGAGTCGCTAGATTATCAGGCAAGTCGCGGACGCTGGGCACCGCGAGGCGGAGAGCCAGCAGGTGGGGGGTCTCCGCATTGGGAGACATCTGATTGCAGCGCTGCTTCGCTTGGAGGATACCCTGCAGCAGACAGCTGCGGTCCATCACCATCATCATCACCGAGCTTGATGCTTAGAGCATTTAGAGCACAGCAGAACACAGGCTTCTTCCCGGCCGGGAAGACTGCAGCAGGTCAGGCACCCATCGCACCCTCGTCGAGACTATGATTCCAGAGCAGAGGAGAAGGTTACTTGTATGGAAGTCTAGCGCAAGATGCCCTCCGCCTGCAGCCCGGTGTTACTGTCCGAGAGGCATGGCACGAGCTCGAAGACAAAGGCACGATGGGCGACATGGAGGATGCCACGAAGTTGTAGAAGTGATGTTGCGCAGCTTCGCAGCACAGCATGTCACAGTCGGCGATCGTGGGTCGACTTCAGGATTTGCCACTGGTGTCCGGACCGCACGAGAACTCGCCGGGAGCTGAAGCACCAAGCCATGATGCTCCTGTTTGTATCACACCACAGCTCCAGGTGGGAGGGATCTTCGAGCCGGCTGAAGCCCCACTCCTTCGCGGCAGCCTCAGCAACTCAGCGACGCGGCGCGCGGGTGGGTGTGCAGTCTTTGGGCAGGACTGGGAGCTGCCCTCGGAGAAGTGGACCTCCGCCCTCTCCTCGCCCGAAGGCGCCGGGGGAAGCGTGGGCAGCGTGGGCCGCCAGTGAGCCAACGTTGGCCCCAGAGCGGAGCGGAGCGGAGCGGAGGCGACCTGACACCGGGCCTGGCGCCAGCAGGTGGAAGTGGAAGCGTCGGAAGCGTGCAGGAGACACCTCGTTTTCTTTTTGCGCTCGGCAGAGCCACTGTCCGCGGAAACAGGACGAAGCCGAGGAGCGACGAAGCGCCACACGTCTGGTCAGGAGCGACGGCTTAAGCCGAGCTTTGATCAGAGCACCATTGCTCATGCTTATCGGATGCCTTACGACAGGAATGTGGATAACTCCTTGCTGGCCATGGTGGTGCGTATCGGCGACGGTGTAGGCAATTGCCTTCATGCATGTTTCCATTCGATCCTTCGATTGCTAAGTCTGCCCGAGGCCCGATCACATACTCAAGGCCGGATTTGAGTGCTCCCGTTTCTTCTTTCGCACAGTGACTTCGAGCAAAGGTCACCGGGAGTCCACCAGAGCTTGAACCGCGAGCTTCGGCAAAGACTCGTTACGCAGGCCGGGTCTGGTCAGTCTCTGCAGTCCTCGCGACAGAGAGCAGACGGAGGGGCACTACGTAGAAGATCGAGCAGGCGAGCTGTAGGCATCTCATCAAGGTCGGAGACTTTTCAAGGTATTTTACATCTATCTACATGCATGAAGTCGTCATTTCAACTATGCTTCACATCTGCTCACCAATCTAGCGAATTCTTGCTCTTTCCAGATGCGAGTATGGCAACAACAACTGCATGGGAGGGGCATGTGGTGGGACAGCGTTCGCATGTAATGCAGGTTCTGCGGAATTGAAGTCCACAGTGCCATAGTGGCCGTACAGCGCTTTCCAGTGATGCTTGCGGAGGACATTGCTGCCGTCGGCTTTTTGTAGCTTGGACGGCATATATCTGCACCCGCCACCTGATGACGCAGTGCATGGCGCCGCGGGGCGCGACGAGGCTTTTCGTCCTCGGGGTTGCTGTGTGGGTGAGCTGCCTGGGCGTGTACCAATTCGCCGACGACCCGTCGCAGGCAGAAGTTATCGCAAGGAACACAGGTTTCTTTGTGCTCTGTTTTTCCACACCGGAAGGTGCTCTTTTACACAGACCCGAAGCGCGCGGCACAGCCACCACAGATGCCACGTGATGCTGTGGATCAGAAGTTGGGGCGAAAACTGGCAGTGATGCAAGGTATGCACAGCATCGGGTTCTCTGCACTTCTAGCGACCAGGAGTCATTCCTGGAGGTGCGCTGCCACTTCTCATCGCTTCTTGTGCATTGGAGTATCGTCAGGCCTTCAACACGCAGCCGCACCGTGCCACGAAGCCTTGCTGCAAGCAGCGGTTCGCTTTCTGCAATTACATCTCTTCGCCAAGTCTAGTCGCGTTCCCTTTGCCTTTGCTTCGGTGAGGCTGCGCCTCATTGGAAGAAGGTCTTCGACAAGGACTTTTCTCAGGCTGGATGCATACGTCCGCTCGCACAAGCAGACGTGCAGGACCGGCGGGTGCTGCGAGCTGCTGCGAGGCGCAGCGTGGAGTCGCCGTGGAGCCTCTGGGAGCAGCCGCTTCTTGCAGCTGCTTCTTTCTTCTTTCGCCGCAGGCTCCTTGGCCTCGGCGCTCTCGCGCGCGGCGGGCCGTTCCCGGCGCTTCCTGCTCCCGGGCCGCCGGAGCGGCAGAGTTCTCGCGCAAGCCGAGCAGGCGTTCGAGCAGCCGAGCGGTTTTCTTGTCTGCAGGAGGCCTGTTGCAGATGCCGACATCTTGTTCGACGTCTCCTTGGACCTCAGCTCGCAGCTGCCTTGTTAGGAACGCCCTAGCCATGCTTTCCGAGCTTTCAACACTACCCGCTTGGGGCCCCTGACTGTTCACGGAAGTTCCGGGAGACTATTCACGGAAGCGCTCAGCCGCTAAGCTTCAGCAGCATGACTGCGGATTTTCTGAGGTTCATATCGGGTGAGGGCCAGCTGGCATCCCAGGAAGAGGTGGTGCGCAGCAGAGCTTCCCAGAGCCCAGACCCGCCTTGTTGCCTAGTGCAGGGAAGAAAGCTGGAAGGCCATTTGATCAACAGCAATCCTCTCCAAGTCCTGGTGCTGAGGCCCGGGTCATTCGCAAATGTAGACCGTTTACAGCTTGACCCGACCCCCTTTGCTAGGAAGCGGGTTCTTTGGGCCTGCTGCCTGGAAAGAACGACTGTTGACACCTTTATGAGTACGTCTCTGCCCAAAAAGGCCAACTGGGAGGATATGGCCACCAACATCAAGCAGAAGCTTCGTGGAATGGGTGCGGAACTGAGGTGGGGATGATGAAACTGATCCACAAAGTGAGCGCTTGACAGGATTCCGTGGCGAAGTGGAAGTTCGCTTTGACTCTCAGGAGCTGTCGTCGCTTCGGGGACGATTTTGTGTGTTCGGTGCATGTTTCCTCATCGCTTGAACAGGAGGACCTGCGGATTTACAGGACCCGTACATTCGGGATGTGCAGACTGCAAACAGTGTAACATTGACATCCAGGCTTCAGAGCAATCCATTTACGTGCTTCGTGTCTTGACAGGAATCTTCGATGGCAGAATTTCGTCCGCACGCCCATCACCCACATGCTTTCGGTACGCCCCCAACGCGTCAACCCTGCAAAAAATCGACCCAGGCAGTGAGTTCTGCTCAGGTGCTCTCTGGCATTGGAGTATTGTTTTGGGTGCCCTACCTCTACTGCCGCTCTGATGTAGCATCTTGGGCAGAAGGGCAGGCTTGTGTAGAAGAGTGTCAGCCGATTCGAAGAGAACTGGAAAAGCAAGGTAGTTGTGGAAACCAACTTCCAGATTCAAGTCGATGTCCATCGGCCGGCTACCCATGGGGGCCGGGACGGAAGATGGTCGCAGATGTTCTGTTCTTCTCGGGCAGGTACTGGGAGATGCTGTCGCAAGGCGACGAGGGGAGAAACTGGGAAGAGAGGGAAGACCGAGGGCCTGAGCTGACTGTGCTTCCGCAGGGCTGGACACCTCTGAGGGCTTCCGCACTTGACGCCAATTAGGCTTTGAGGTTACGGCCAGTGGGAGGAAAAAGGGTGGTTACCACTTGTGCCTGCCTTTGTCTTGGCGCTGACGGCGCAAGAAGAATGAGAAGCTCTTGTTCCTTGGTTCGCAGGAGAATGCCACGCAGCTGATCCAGCTCTTTAAAGAACATGCCAAGAAGAAGGATGGATACCTAAGCAGCCCACTCGGACGAGGCTTGGCTTGCAAATCCTACCCGAAAAGCAGCCAAGGTAAGGATGAGTTCATTGCCGTGCTGCAGAAGTGAGCCATCTGAGCTTGCATCTCTCTTGGAGCTTGGCATGTAGTGGCTCAAAGTGCTGGCCGCAGGTATCCTTGCTGCAACTCGGCGTACCACACTGTCTTCTTTGACCTCTTCGATCGGAATGAGGCTTTCGGGAGATGCAGGCGATCGCACATCACTCTCTCTGACAGCAAGTTTGCTCAGGACGGCTTCTTGAGCGAATCGGACTTCCTCGGTGGAATGCTGGCAGTGAGTCGTCGCCCCGCTAGCCGTCAGATCCGTCATGTTTGCAATCGCAAGACATGTCCAAACTCAACTCTTCGGGTGCCATTTCTGGACAGAGATACATGAACGGCATGGAAGGTCATGTGCAACTGCAATCCCCGATGTTCCATCGTGAGTTTTCCAGTTCAGGCTGCATTCACAAGGCCTGACCCTGACGGCACACATGAATGCCCCCCACCCCCCCAAACCCCCCAATCGCAGACTCAGCCCAGAAAGCCGCCCGAGCCTGGGCACCCCCTCCCCACGCCTCTGCGGCCTCGCCATGGGGTCCACGACCACGAAACGCGTGGTGTAGAAGCCGCTTTGATCTGACGAAGTCTCCGATGTTCGGCAAGGGCCGCGGCAAGAAGGGCAAAGTGCCGGAAACCAGGCCAAGCTCCTGGGCCATCCAAGGCGGTGCCGCCGACAAGATCATCAATACGCCAACGCAGCCTCCTAACAAGAAGGCGAAGAAGGGCGATGGCAAAGGGAAAGAGGAGAAAGCCGAACCCAAGATGGCCAATGAGCTCGCGAAGAATCAAGCGACAGAGGAGCAAATCGAGAGCATCTGCGATCTTCTGCGCTCCAACAAGGTCGAGAAGGCCCTGCAGTTTGTCCAGAAGGTGGGGCTCTGAGCTCTGCGACGGAAGAAAATTCGAAGGGGTGTCTGTGTCTCATCAGCTCTCTTTGCAGGAGCTTGGAGACGTGTCGAAGTCCAACTCTATGTCTGTCAAACAGCTCGGCCAGCTGGTCAACGCCGTCGGCCTCAGGACACCACAGGAGCCTTCACCCCGCCCCCCACCTTGCCCCATATGGCATCCCCCTCAACACTTAAGCCTCGACCTGGGAGCATAAATCCCACCACGATGCCAATGACCATTTTATGGACGTACATATACATATGTATATTTCCCATATATATATATATGTATGTATACACACAAATAGTGTGCCTCTCAGGGGCCCGAAGCGCTCACAAGCGAGCTGGTCGAGTTTGCCCCCAGCACCAAATTCGGTGCGACACGTGCATTTGCCTCGCAATTGCGCTTCCTCGCTCCCCAGCGTGGCACAGGGCTCTTCGCCGCAGAAGGGCAGCGGCCAGGAGGAGCTACCAGAAAGGCCGTCCCCTGCTTTCCTCGCAGAGACGACGCCTTGCAGTTCACCACGCTACAGCGTGGGATCAGAAGGTTCGCCTACTTATGGGAAGAGGCGGCAAAGGATCATGGCGCGACGACGACCCGCACCATGGCTATACACTGTGGCGTGGCTCTGCCTATGTTTCTCCCAAGAATTGGCCGAAGCAGCCATGGAACAACCAGCCTCAGCGACCTGCACCAGCATTCCCTTCCTTCGACATGGTACCCACCTCATCGGGTGCCAAAGGTTCACAGAAAGGGACGGACGAAGTGCCGGCCCAGGCACCTGGTGTTTTCGGTGGACTCCAGGATGCGCTGACGAACTTCAGAAAGGCAGAGCAACGCGTCGAAAGAGTTGTGAAGAACCAAGAGCACACGAAGACGCTCTGGGAGGACTACCAAAAGGCCATGAAAGCCGCCCTCACCAAGGAGAAAGGCAGATTTTTGACGAGGATGCAGAAGCTTGCAAAGGAACAACAGGCTGCAGAAATCCACCTCGAGTCTGCCAGGGACAAAGTCAGGGCCTACCATGTTGGCGAAGCTGTGGCGCCAGCACCGGCGGCACTAGATGCAGATGCGGAGATCGACCAAATGTTCACTCAGTGGATGGACGACCAGCCCGAGGACCACGATTTTCAGGGCCTTCTTTCCAGAGCCTTGGGATCGACGACTACTCCGACGACCACCCCAGTACGGGCACCCAGGACAGTGCCGAGGTCACCACGTGTTGGCCTTGGTGGTGTCGCGGGTCAAGCTTATGTGGCCGCTGGTCCAGATGCAATCAACGACCCATATACATTGGCATCCCCCAACCCACTGGGCATGCCAACAGCTGCTGTGCCAGCACCTTCTGCTCCTCCTCCGGGCTTCGAGAAGACATCCCCACACCACCCAGGACAGCGAGAACGTGGAAGATCGGATCACCGCAAGGGCATCAAGGAAACCACCAAGACAGCGCCAACTACAGCAGCAGTCCACAGCAGTTTGGAACAAAAGCTGCAGACAAGGCGAGCCATGACTCCCTTTGGTCTCGGGGCAGCTCCAGCTGGTTCGGACGAGGCTGCGGCGACGCCCATCCCGCCTTCCAAACTGCTCGACGACGACACCGACAGCGAGCAGGATGCTGCCCGAGATCTTACTGCCGAGGAACTTGTGGCCCTACAGACCTCCAAGGGCCATCCAGGGCCCAATGTGGGGTAGCCACAACTGGAATGACTGCCGATTCCAATGATGACCTGGTAACGACTGGTCGCCGACCTGCAGGCCCGTGCCGCCTAGAGGGACGACCACGCCGAGGCCCTTCGGGCTTAGGTTGTGAAGCTCCCTGTGGGCAAGGCTGTTCCTGCGGTGTCTTCGACCATCGTCGTTGCCGGTCATCAGATGTGACGGTCTTCCGAGGTAGGTGTGTGTACAGTTTTGCACTTTGTACAGGACCCCCATCCCGGATCGCTGACCCTCGCATTCTCCATGTCATTCCTGGCCTTGTCGCTCGCTACGTCTTCCTCGGCCGCCTTAACTCTTCCTTGGGTTCTGGGAGAGTCCTGGGTTGGCCCCCGCCATCCTGCACTGCCTGCAACAACGTGGCCACGTGCAATTTTGACTTCCTGCATGTGCCCTTGTCTGCCAGTGTTGCCATTGACTCCCGGCTAAGCAGAGCGCCTAAAACTCACATCGGTGGCGCTGGGGTGAGTGCCTGCGAGGCCGAAGTCTTACATGAAGGAGCCGAGGTATCTCGGGGCTCCTGCCTCCCACTTCGGTTTAGTCCCAGTTCTCCTGGTCCTTGCCCTAAGCGGTTTAAGGTTCCTGTTGTTCGAAGGGCTACCTCAACACGTCCGCCGAATGCTTCGCGCGTCTGCACTGTTCCCCAGCCAGCCCATGAGTACCTAAGAGGCGTATCGGTGGTTCTGGGACTCCCACCATGGGCTGTGCTCTCTCCGTGCCGGCAGGTTTCAACGATACCGCGACCTGCCTCTGATGCCGACCGCCTTTTCTCTGCGTTCATGTTGCGGCTTCTATTGTGCCTGGCCGATGTGGTTGTCCCCTTCGCGAGAAGCCTTCTCGCCCTCGCATGCTCAGTTCTGATTAGTCTCCTGCTGCGTGCACTTGGGCTAGGTTCGTCGAAGATATGTCAGGCCCTTCACCTTTCGTCCGCCGGACCCGCATCCTGTCTCTTGCAACCCTTGGGCACAGCTGTATCTGGCGGGCCGCCCCTCGACTGGTCGCGCTGGAGGGATCGAAAAGGCAGACTCCCGCCCCGCCAAACCCACTGTCGGCAGCGCACGAGGTCCTCTCTTTTCCGCTTGCTTTTTGTGCAGGGGTTCTCGCTCCCCCACCAATTGGGGATGGGATCAATGCAAGGGATAGGAGCTGCTTGGGTTATTTCTTCAGGGCTTGTTCAAAAGAGTGAGGCAGCCGGGAATCCTCCCCCTTTTCCTTCTCCTCCCGATCACCCTGAGGGCGAAGCATTACAAGCATCTGTCGGTGCTGATGCCCAGCACGATCCTGCACTCCACCGACACCCTGACGGTGTTGCGGCTGGACGCTCCGGCCTTGCGAGGGACTTCATCCACCAGGGGGCACCTCACGGTCCGCCACCGCCTGTCCCCGTGCAGGTTGCCATCGACAACACCACCCAGCATACAAGGCCTGTTACTATGCAAGCATCGCCTTTCTCTGTGTGGGTGGGTGCTCCCTTTTATGTCCCAGAGACCCTTCAATTCCAGCTGCCTATGCCCTGTGACATTGAGGATGCACTTGATGCTACTGAGCGGCAGGTCAGTCACCTTAAGCTCGAAGGTTGCGACAGGGCAATCGCGGTGAGGCCCCAGCCCTTTCCCACATGCGCCGCCATCGTGATCGCACCTGACTGGTCCACCTACTCCTCTCTTTCTGTCGTTTGTTTAGATCTGCGGGATCTTGGCGACACCACAGATGGACCCGTGCTTGTGAGTTATGTCACCAGGCCTACCTGCCTTGCGGAACTCTGCAGAGAGGCTAGTGTCCACGAGCCCCATCGATGCAAGGTGTACATTGGCAGCGAGACTGCCCCCCTCCATGAGGAGGAAGAGGTGAGTCTCGCCAGCGGGTGTCTCGTAACCTTCATGCGTGCTGATAGGCTGCCGTGCCACGCAAATGATCTGCAGTACCGTTTGCAATTTCCAGACACATGGCGGACGGAGCCGCGGTTCCCAGTGGGACCCGCCATCCGTAGCTCGCTTTTGCTGTTGCATTCTAGTGGCAGATACCTGTACAGGCCTCAGGCTGCGCATGATCCGGGTGATGTTTCTGCTGCCCGCTTCGTCGGTGTCGACAGGGCCTCCGTCGACTTTCACACGCCTATTGATGGCGGCCTCGAGCGTGTTATGTACCGAGGCATTCGTGTGCGAGGGGTATTGGCCCTTGCCGACCACCTCTTTGAACACCAGTTTGTGGTCTTTCTCGACCTGCGACAAGTCGCCGAAGGAGTTCAATTCGTCGTCCTCGATGTTCCTTACATCCTACTTGAGCACCTTGCTCGACTTGTGCGTTTCAGGCCGCCTCCAGGCTGGGTTCTCAAAGTCCGTGGAGGCCGTCGTCGGCGGGACCGCATCGAGGTTGAACTTTAGCTTTCAGTATGCCTGCGATTCTGAGTCTTCCGGGACCCCCTTCGACCCTACCACCGAAAGTAGTCAGGACGAGGACGACGATGGAGGGGATGACTCTAGCGACTCCGGGAGTGATCCTACTGACCGCCACTCCAATGCCACTACGCGCTCCCGTAGCAAGCGCGGCCGCTCCCCCGGAGCAGCATCAGGACCGTCTTCAGACCACTCCTACCAAGGTGGCATCGTCGGTTTTAGGGGTCCCCTAATCCACGAACCCCTCGTTGCCTCTAGGGACTTTTGGTTTAGTCCACTAGATGTGCACATGCATGCCAGCTGCTGGCCCACTCACGTGCCTGCGGAGCTCACGACCGAATCCTGCAGACTTCACTTCGCGGGAATGTCAGTCTCAGGAGAAGGAAGCCTCGCCGGGGTTTTTATGCCAAACCGTGACGCATGCCTTGACTTGCTCCAGGCAACCTTCCAGGCTGCCCTTCATGCCAAGCTCCTTTCAGAGCCGGCCCCCAGTAATCGAGCCTCAAGGGATCGCCTTCATGCCCTCCGCAACGCCACTGAGCTGCTAGGTGGTGAGTGGCGCTACTTCACTCCCAACACCAGGCTTCATGCAGGCTTGCCTGAGTACCAGGATCCCTCTTCAGATGAGGATCAGGAAGCGAGAAGCCGCCGGGCTTCATTTGTCATTTGCACACCAGGCTACACGCCCGAGCTCCTTGTCTTTGAGGTCCAGTTCCCAACAACATTAGCCGATCTCATCCCTAGCCTTCGAAGGGGGAGACAAGGTGACCGAGACCAACGCTTCCCACACATTGTTCCCGCTACCCCTCAGCCCATTGATGGAACCGGGGTCTTTTTGGCTATGCCGCATTGGCTCTCTGATGCACGAGTTGTTTGTGTTGATGCTACCCGACTTGACGGCAGGCTGTATGCTACTCAGGCACCTGCTTATGCCGACCGGGACACACTCATTGATCTCGCTGGGGCCCACGGGCTCGACGTAGCCGTTTATGCGGGCCTGGGTCAGGAGCCCGTCCCCGAAGGGACCCTCATTCATCTCGTCGCAGGGGCTACCATCACTGTGCTTGCTTCGAATGCAGAACCGCCCATGCTTTGGGACCTCGGCCAACTCCTTCTTGATGCCAGTCAATGGAGTTCTCGCCCCCTTCTTGCATACCCTGAGCCTACAGATGCTTATTGCCTTGTTAGGGAAGCACATCACCAGATGTTCCGGGCCGATCCCAGCCGGCCTACGCATTACCGACGCCGCCTCGCAGAGGTTGTCGATGCCCAGGAAAGCTCCATCACTGTCACTCCGGCGGCCCCGCGAGTCGCTGACATTGACATTGCGGGTATTCCCTGTAGGACTGCTGTGGCTGTCTCTGTGCGCCCACGCGGTCCTGCCACGCCACACCGTTCTGATGTCCTTATAGATGGACGGCCGGTCTTCGAAGGCTGGTTCTTGTGGCCTGCGCACTCGGGCCGGGTTTTCGTGCCGGATCTGCTTGCGCACTTCCGGCACCATGTACCGACTGGCTTCACTGTTCACATCAAGCAGGAGCCCCAGCACGGAGTAACCATGCAAGTACACGAAGGCGCCGTCATTGTTGTTGACTACGCCCCAGTCATTGAGGTTGCACCAACTGCAGCAACTGATGCTACCGCAGCCGATCGGTCTCGAGGTGGCGCCAGCCAGAGACGTGTGAGCTTTGCTGCCGACCCTCTGCATCCCTCTCCCGACTCCTACCCCGCGGAGAGGCAAACAAGCACAGGCGACCACCACGAGGCAGGGTCTGCCTCCACAGCTGCTTCGGAAGCCGCCTCCAGTACTTTCCGGGCGGTTTTTCTCGTCTTCGCGCCAAGTTACCTTCCTGAGTACATCGAGCTAGACCTCCGTGCTCCTGTTGCACTCCAAGAAGCTCTCGAGGATATCCAGGCTGCTAGGTTGCCAGCCTATCGAGAGCGCTTCCCGCAACTCCTTGCCGTTACCCCCCAACCAGACATGGCTTACGGCACCTTGATTGCTGCACCAGCTTGGCCAATCTCGGAGGTTTTAGTTTACTTCGACCTCCGCGAGGTTGACGATAGATACTTCGCCCTAAGTGTGCCGGTCAGGATGACCTTCGGGTCCCTTCTCACCGTTGCCGACTTGCCAGCTACCTCCGATGTTGTTGTCTACATCCGGGATATGCCATGGCCCTTGGGAAGAGAGGTCCCCATTGAGTTACTGTCCGGAGACTTGATTCTCTTCGTCCGTCCGGAGCATGCAATTGTAGTCCATGCCAGTCTTCCTGACATGTTACAGCAACCTACCGGGTGGATGTCTGAGCCCGACATCCCAGGTGAATACGGAGACCGCATCTGGCTTGTGACCGACCATGAGCCCGTTCTTTTCGAGGTTAACAGGCGCAGGCTGCAGGCCTTTAGGCAGGACATTGCTGCGGCTCTCGACATCTCCAGCAACACTTTGCGCCTGCAGCCGGTCTGGCCCAGCATTCTCACCTTCGCTGCACGCGGCCTCCTCGTCCGCTCGGTCTTGATTGCTGTCGAGTCACCTCCCCTCCCCGATGATGGAACGGAAGGCTGGATTGTATGCCTGCTCGATCTCCGGCCGATCCTGCTAGGGCTGGTTGCTGCACATGCTCCTGATGGCAAGTATGACATCTCTGGCCTCTGTCGTAGGCTTCAGGGTTTCTGCCCACAAGGCTTCGAGGTTTCCGTGCTGGGAGGGCACCCAAGGGCAGACGGTGAGCCTGGCGTCCGCACTGTCTTCGCAGGCGAGGTTCTCCAGGTCAGTTTTGTAAGGCCAGGGACCGCTGCACCTACCGAGGTGCAAAATGTCGCTGCCCCATCTTCCGATGGGCCCAGTGCAAGCGATGCGGGCTCCGCTCCACACCAGCATCTGCAGGCCCGCTCCGTTGGGCCAGACGCCGCAACTCAGGGTGCTCAGGGAGCTCGTCTGAATCCTCCTTCCCGCCGCCCTGCACAAAGGCAAGCAAGCAGATCAACCGCATCGCGGGACACTGCCGTCCCAGCTGTCTCAAACGCTGACTGTCGCGCTACAATTTCTGTCGGGATTGCGCAGCTCACGTGGCGCTCCGGGATTTTTCACAACATTGCCCCCCCCTCGGGCACCCGGAACCTCACCTCTGTGCTCCCCTCTCCCTCACCGCTTCAAGGGTCCCTGAAGGACCCGTCTGTTGGCAAGCGCCACTCCCATACCCTTGCATCTGTGCCCAAGAGTTTCCGGGTTCTGCTCCTCGCGGCCTGCCTTTGCGTGCAGCCGGGCGTTACTGTTCAGCTAGTTACAAGGCACCATGTCCTTCCAGGCGAAGCCTTACCTGCCGGACCTCCCCCAGATACGCCAGCGCGGACCTCCGGCGCACCACAAAGAGTCGACAAGTTCCCCCCGACTCTTCAGAAACAGAGCGGGGATGCCGAGTGCACGGGCCCTTTTCCCAGACCAATCCCTACCCCCTGCCGTGCGGTTGGGGATCGTTTCCTCCACCTGCCGCCTGGGCCACTTGCCCACGGCGACCCCACGTTCGTGCAGAAGATAGTTAAGGACGACTCTCAGATCGGGGATTGCACAGACGGCCTCATCACTCTCCTGTGGGAAGCCGCAAAGGACCCTGAATGCCAAGCTTTTATGCTCGCGAGCACACTCCTTGATACGTGCTTTGAGCATTTCAGTGCCCCGGGCTCCCCCTCGCCCAAGCTTCGCCTGATCCTCGATGACCGAGTCCCAGAGCCGTCTTGCCATCCTGCGCAGCCAAACTGTTCTTTTTGGTCTCAGCTTGATGAGCCACTTCCCTGCATGCCGTGGACACCAGCCGACCTTCCAGGTCTCATGAGCCAGCCCCCTCAGGAGCGTCTTGCAATCGGCTCTTATCAAGTGCCCTGCACCGCACAACAGCTCAAGGATTTCCTAATGCCAGCCTGCACCCTCGGTACGGGATGGGACATTGTGCTCGCCATCCAACAGAGGGACCTTCAAAAGCAGCGTGCTCTCGACCTCTGCCCTCATGATTTCGAGTCGAGTGATCTTCACTGCTTCACTGATGGCTCATACACTGCAGCCAAACCGGGGCGTGCTGGCTCCTGCACATGGGCATGTCTTTTTGTGTGTCCGCTCTCTGGCAAACATGCAGCTGTTTCCGGCCAGGTCCCCCCTTGGGCCCTGCTTGAGGATCGGCCTTCTGCTTATGTGGCCGAGTGCTACGCCTTGGTCGTTGCGGCATGGCTTAGCCTTACCCGCTTCTTCCATTTGCCCACGGTCCTACGCTCTGACTGTACTTCCGCCATTGGGGTCTTTCAGGGGCGGTTTGTCGGGGCACCAGTTGGCGTTGCAGCAGTTCTACGTAGTCTAGGACTCTTTGGATCCGAATTCTCGCCGCACCCCCCGAGAGTTGCTCATGTCGCAGGCCACCAGGGTTGCCTCGGTAACGAACTTGCTGACTGCCTTGCTAGAGGGGCAGCTCTCGGCCGAGATTGTGGGTGTCTGTTTTGGTCTCATGATTCCGCCAAGCCGTGGTGGTTCCAGGGGGGTTCCGCCCTTAGTTGGGCAGCTGTTGCAGTTGCGAGCCTGTCGGCACAGGGGGTCTACCCTGAACCCGCTCCAGCTGCTGTGCCGCTATGCTGGGATGGGCTTGGTCTTGAGCCAACTCAACTTGTTGCTCCCTTCCTCCCAGATGAGGCACTCTCTGAGACGCAGGGCAAGCAATACACATGGGGACGCCTATCCCTGAGAGTCTGTTCTTTCAACGTGCTTTCTCTCAACAGCGCCACGCTTGAGGGCAATCAGGCAGAGGGTCTCGCGTTTCAGCCCGCACGCCCTACTCTTCTTGCAGAAAGCTTCAAGGCTGCTGGCATCCACATTGCGCTCCTTCAGGAGGCGAGAACCCAGGAGGGCGTGCTGCGCACCCAAGGCTATCTCCGCTTTTCCTCAGGCAGCCTTAATGGCACGCTCGGAGTTGAAGTTTGGCTTCTGGAGAATCACTCGCTCTTTTGCGGACCTGACGGCCAGAAGAAGCTCCGCCTAACCTCCCATGCGTGCTTGGTCTTGCATAGCGATCCGCGCCGCATGCTGTTACTCTTCCGCCAAGAGGGTTTTAGCCTACTTGTTGTGTCAGTCCATGCGCCGCATCGAGCGGTCGAGCAGAGCGTGATCGCCGCGTGGTGGGCGGAAACCCATAGGCTGTGCAGCGTGCATGCACACTCCGCCCTCCTGCTGTTGGGAGGGGATATCAACGCCTCTCTCGGCTCTGTCACTTCCGCTGCTGTTGGCAGCCATGACCCGGAGCCACAAGACGACTCCGGCGCACTCTTCGCTGACTTCTTGCTTTCTCAGAAACTTTGGGTGCCGAGCACGTTCTCTTTCTGCCACCACGGCCCTTCTGGCACATACGTGCAGAAACGCAACGGGGCCATGAGTCGAATCGACTTCATTGCGTGCCCTTCAGAGTGGCGCTCCGGACAAATCAGCACCTGGACCGATGAGACTCTGCACACCGGCCAGGCGTACATTGATCATCTTGCGACCTGCGCGCATTTTGACCTTACCGTCTGTCTACACGGCCGGCCGAAGCAGGTTCAGAAACGCAGGTTTGACGGCTACGCCATGCTTACGCCTACCGGCCAGGCCCACGTTGAGCGCATCCTGAGGGATGCGCCCCGCATACCTTGGACTGCATCTCCACACGCCCACGCAGCTACTCTTGTCCACTACCTGCAGAGGGAGCTCGCCTCGGCCTTTCCCCATCGCAAGGACTTCCGCTACCGCCCATACCTCAGTGATGAAACTTGGGCGCTGCACAGGGAGGTTACGCACCTCCGAAAGCACTGCGTCGGCATTAAGCGCGCACTTGCTTTCCACCTACAGGCTGCAGTCTTCCAAGCTTGGAAGCAAGCAGACGGCAGTCCTCTGCTGCACATGCTTAACTCAGCTTGGACTCGGGAAGCCCATTTTGCCGGTGCTACTCAAAGCCACTTCCTGAGTGTTTCCTCGCAACGGCTAAAGGCCGCCTGCAAGCGAGATAGAGCTGCTCATTTCAGCTCACTTGCTGATGATGTGCAGCAAGATCGGCCGCACGCCAGCAAGGCCGTCCAGCGACTCTTGGGTTTACGTCGCAAGAAACCTTTCAGTCCAGAGGTTCTCCCTGCTCTCTGCAATACAGATGGCAGTCGATGCCAGACCCCAGAAGAAGTCATCTCTCGATGGAGGGAACACTTTCGTGAGCAGGAGGACGGCTATGACATCTCGCCGGCATGTCTGTCGAATCTTGGGGCGACTCCAGGCCCTACCATTGCGCCAGACTCCCTTGAGGAACTGCCGTCCCCGGATGCCCTACTGCAGGTTGTCGCGTCCTCGCAAAAAGGTAAGGCTCCTGGCCCTGATGGGATACCAGCCGAAGTTGGACATGCTTCACCGCAAGGTCTTGTGAAGATTCTGATGCCCCTTCTGCTCAAGCTGGGACTCACTTGCGTCGAGCCTATAGGCTTCAAAGGGGGCACACTCACGAAGCTCTACAAAGGCAAGGGCGACACGGCCCATTGTGCCAGCTACAGGGCCATCATGCTCCTGCCCACTTTGGCTAAGTTCCTGCATAAAGCCTTCAGACCTGGGCTTTACGATGTCTTCAAGAGCAATGCCACCCCGGCCCAACTGGGCGGGCTCAAAAACACTAGTGTCGTCTTGGGGTCCCACATTACTCGTGCCTTTGGTCGGTTCTGTGCTGCGGAAGGCTTCACCAGTGTTCTGCTCTTTGCCGATGTGGCATCTGCCTACTATACGGCTGTCCGTGCCCTCACTGCGAGAAAGAGTCAGGAGTCGGATGCCAGGGAAGCCGTTTACAGACCCGACAAGGAGCATCTTACCGCCGAGCTTTCAAAACCCTCTGCTATGGCCCAGGCTGAAGCATCCCCGTGGATTGAATCCCTGACCGCTGAACTCAACCGCAACACTTGGATGTGTCTCGCGGGAGATGTGCAACCGGTTGTCACAAGACAAGGCTCGCGCCCGGGGTCTAGCTTTGCCGACCTCTTCTACGGGGTGACAGTCCCTCGGATCCTTCAGTGGAGGGATTCGGCCCGCCTTGGCAGTGAGGCATCCCTCCCAGCAGTTGAGCATGCCCCTGTTGTTTGGTGGGACGGTTGTTTTGACTTTTCCGAGCCCAGCACTGACCCGTCGGTTTGGACTTCGGCCGCTACACTTGAAGATGTTATATGGGCTGATGACCTTGCCAAATGCATCGTTGTCCGGGACGCTTCATGTGCGGCCGCCGCCACTGCCTTTGAGTGCGGGCTCTTGGCAGATGCCTTCTATGCCCATGGATATGACCTCAGCTTCGGTCCTACCAAGACTGCCGCCATCGTCGTCCCCCGCGGAGCTGGCTCGAGGAAAGCACGCAAGGCCTTGTTTACGTCCAAACCCGCCCTCCCTGTCCTCCGGGAGGAGCAAGGTGCAGCTTCGTTGCCACTTGTCACTGCATACCGGCATCTTGGTGTCAAGATATCCTCTAGCACCTCTTTAATGACCGAGCTTCGGCATCGAGCATCCCACGCCTGGTCGGCCTTCCAGCAAGGCCGTACCAAGGTTTTTCGCACGGGGCGGATCTCTGTCCATAAACGAGGAGCACTTTTGTCCACACATGTGATGACCAAGCTCCTGTTTGCTGCAGGGGCGTGGCCGGCCTTGAGTAAGGGCGAACACGCCTTCTTCTTTCGCACCGTGCTCTCTCTCTACCGCCAGACTCTTGCCGTCCCCCATGACGGTGATCAGCATCTCACACATGCGACAATCTGTGCGCTCATCGGGCAGCCCCCACCTGAGGTTCTGCTGCTCACAGAGCGTGCTCGCTACGTCCTCCAACTGCTTAACGCAGCCCCTGTGCAGCTTTGGGCTTTGGTCCGTAGGGATGCGGATTATGTGATGCACCTTCGGGGCGCGTTGCTCTGGGTCTTCCACTGGGTCCATGCTACGTCTGATCTTGGCCACCCCGACGAACACTGGACGTCTTGGGAGCACACCATGCGTTCCCGCCCACACGTGTTCAAAGCCCTCATTAAGCGTGCCCGAGGCCTTGAAATTGTGCGCACTGCTTGCTTCGCGGCTTTTCAAGCTGTCCGCCGCACCCTCGGCCAGCTTACTGACAGTGACCCCCCACCCGCACCCCATGGTGTGCGCTACCAGGAGGCGTGCCTCCAATGCAAAATTGCATTCCCCAGCCGCACGGCTTGGGCCTGCCATGCTTCACGGCTGCATGCTTACAGGGCGTCTTCCACTGTTCTTGCTGCTGGCTGCGACCGCCCCCTCTGCCAGTCTTGTGGACGCCTCTATGCGAACTTCGGCCGCCTCAAGAGGCATCTTGCCTCTTCTGCTGTGTGTCGCACAAGGTGGGGTGCTTTTACGCCTTCCGCGCAAGCTCCCAAGGAGGCTCACCCTGAAGCACCACCCAGCTTCCTCCCAGGGAACCTCTCAGACTTCTCTGCTTGCCTTGACCCTTCTAAGGTTCATCCTGGCCTCCTCCGTGAGCTGCAAGGGCTCACTTCTCTGCTTGCCGAGGAAGTTTGGGAGGCTGTCCGAGGGTATGTCGAGCCCCTCTCCATGCTTAAGGACACCCTCGAGGAATGGTCGCGACAGCCAGGAGACGGACAGGACCCTTCGACCACTGCTGAGGTTGCTAGTGATGTCGGACTTCTGCTCGACCCAGAGCTCTGGTGCGAGGAATTTCGAGCCCCGAAGCAGCCGCCGATGCCTGCAGTGGCCTGTCCCCCCTTCGACGACTTTTGTCCTCACCCCTTGCCCTTCGTGCTTTCCGGTGCTGAACACGTCGTCGACATTGACGATCCCCCACTTCGAGCCTGGGTGTATCCCTTCGGTGCCAGCGTTCCTCTCGCTTCGGCCCGACGACAACTCGCTTGGGTTGAAGGGGTGTGTGACGTCATTGGACTTACCTTGCAGATCTCTCGCGCCAGTCCCGTGCGAATCCGGCTGTCCCCTGCTGCCGCCTCTTGTCTCTTCCCGATTCCGGGTTGGCTCGCGAGCTGCGGGTTTCGGGTCGAGCCTGGTTGCATCCGCTCCCCTTGTGGTTGAGCCATGCACCTGCTCCCCTTTTCTTGCGTTTCACTCCCGAATTTAGTGCGAGAGGCGCGTCCTCTGGACCCATGCCTACCAGAAAGAAAGAAAGTGTGCCTCTCTCTCTCTCTCTCTCTCTCTCCTCCCTCTCTCTGTCTCTGTATACGCACATGTATCGGTGACCGCGTTGGATGTCCCTCGAAGGAGCTTGCGCTGAAGTTCCTGGATGCCCTGGATGCTTTGGGCTTGCCCAAATTCCCTTCCTACGGAGCCCCCGGGCCCCAGAGAGACAGGCTTTGTAGTTCACAAGCAAAAGGGGGGTGTAAGGCTTGGACCTCAGTGCTCGTTCGGTCCACAGCATCATTAACAACAGCAAGAAGACGAGATGAAAACTCAGTCCGTGCATGTGATTTTGTCTGGTTGGGTGTTGCCCGTGCTGGGTCCTGAGGCACACTCTTACTTCGGCCGCTTTGCCAGATGGGCCCTGAGGGAGTTCTTGTCCGAAGCGGCGTCGGCTGTGGACCAGGCGTGCCGTAGGGCCGGGCTAGATGCTGTGCTCCAACGCATGCCAGCAGAATTTGACGGAAGCTTCACATAGCCAGCGCAACAGGTGACTCTTGTCGACAACGAGGTACCATTTACGTGACACCAGCACTGTCTCGGCTCGGCATGAGGCCACGGCGACTCCGGCGCACATCCTCGAAAGACTCGGTGTCTGCATCCCCATGATGGAGGCCGACCGTTATCGTCCATGTCATCATCATGAGTTTGATTCCGTTGGTTTTCCCAGCCATGTTTTGTGTGGATTCAGTGCCTTTGTCGGGTGAGGCAGCCCCATCGGAGAAGAGCCCTTCACATGTCATGCTGAGCCCTTGTGCTGGCTTGCTTCCGGCCGGTCACGGCTTTCAGCGTGGCGATTGGTTGCTTTGCACCTTCCCGCCGACGGGGACACCTGGCATCAGCGTCACCACCCGGGGCGACGTGAGCGTCGAAGCCGAGGTCGTGAACATCACGCCGCCCCCAGGGCAAGGCATTCTGGTGAGGATGGTGGGTGAGCTCGGGAAGAACGCAGGCCGACCGCATCTGCCCTGGGTGCGCCACTGGCTATGCAGTACTTATCTGCTTTCTAGCCGATTTTCTCCCCGAAGGTGAAAAGTTCAACAAGAAGACCTGCCGCGTGGATCGCGTGGCCAACCATGTCACTTTGGGCCGCCAGCTGAGTGCCCTTGTGGCTCGGCCGCAAGTGTCAAGAAGGGGCCAAAACCGGCCGGGCGGCCGCCTGCAGCCTTGTCCGTAAGGTAACTCTTGGTGGCTCCACGGGAGAGAAGAAGCCTGAGCCCCCAGCGGAGGGCGGTAAGAAAGGGAAGAAGGGCAAGAGCAAGGAGTCCAACTCTCCTGCGTGGCTGAAGGAGAAGCGACGAAAGAAGATTCTTCTCAGCAGGGCTTTGTGATGACCACGAGATACGAAGACCCCGACTCTAAGAAGCACTCTTCTCCGCCAGATGCTCCTTCAGTTAGGTGTCCATCTACTACTCCTGCAGGCATGTATACATGGGAGTGTAGAGTAAACTCCATAAACTTGGAAACCGGATTAACGCCAAACAGTGCTGGGATTCCCTAAGCATTACTCTAAAGGATTGAGGCTCTATTTTTTGTGTGAAGGCACGAATGCATAGAGAGATGTATGGATGTACGTAGGTGCAGAAGTCCATGTCTACTACTCTAGCGGCACTTTTCTTTTCCTGTTTTGTGTATTTTTCTATTTCGTCTTTTGCATGTTTACTTATTGAATAGCTTTTTCTGTGGAGGACTTGCTCCTGGCCGCAGACAACGGGCTCATGGGCCGCGAGGCGGGCCTTGCCGCCGTGGAGTTCCAGGGCGCCGGCATCTCTCACCACTCCCCGCTGGTCAAGGCGCACCCTCCGACGTCGTCGGACTTCGGAGTTTCCGGTGTCTTGAGGGTTAAGCCGATTATGCCCAGGACTTCCTCGATGCACGCAAGTCATCGGGATGTCAGTCAGAGCTGCATCATGGAAGGAGCTTCACTTTTCCCTGTTCGTTTCCAGTCATGGCGACCCATCACGTCATGATCGGTCCGTGTCCGGATCCACTTCGTTCACTTCCCTGCCCTGGATTTCAGCGAGATGCCTGTGCTTTCTAGTCCAGCCGGAGTGTCAGGGCTGGCATGCCATGCTTGTCAGGAGTGCAACGACTCTCAAAGAGAGGCCTTGCTGGCTGCCGGATGCAGGCAGGAGTTTCGGAAGGAGTTTCTGGTTGTAAGCATTCAGTGATTGAGCTGGTCGTTTTGCACAAATATCTATCTATCTGTCTATCTGTATACATATATTCTAGGGGCTGCGCCCAGGTGCGGGCAGCGCGAGTTGTTGTCAGCGGATGTAGCGGGGGAACGGGAAAGACACGGTCAACATTTCCAGACGGTGCCGAGACAACGACAGCTCGACACCGGAACAAAAGTGTGACGTAGGCCCGAAGTGCACAACTTGTGGGTGATCTTAGGCTCTCAGCCCTCGTCGGCCCTCCATGTAGCCCGCACCCCCCGTCCGCCGCACCCCGCTGATGCTGATGATGCGCGCCCTTTTGGGGCTTCCGCAATCCACGCAAAAACTTGGAAATCATTACTTCGCGCCCACTTCGCGCCGCGGGGCCGGTTGCGGGCGCCCGAGTGGCTCATGATGCTCGCCGGCTCGCCTCCTGGGGTCGTCCACGGCGGCCCCGAAACCCGCCATGCCGTGGGGAATGGCTGCGAAGCGCGTGCGCGTTCCGAGACGCCTCCGGGCCAGGGCCCGCGCGGCCCGATGGAGAAACGAAGGTCCGATGATGCGGGGTCGGCGGCGGGTCGACGGCACGGGCCGTCGTGGCTTTGGCTTCGCAAGACAAGCCCATTCGTCTGAGCCATAGCTCAGTCCATACAGGGCAGCGAAGCGCTGCCCGATTTATGGGCTGCCGCCACTGCCGCCGACCCCAAAAGAAGAGAGGTGACTATCCAAGGAAGGCAGCAGGTGTTGAAAGCAGCCAACCCTGATACGGAGGAAGTGACATGAAATAATAAGATAGGGCCTGCAAGTCTTGTGAGAGCGGTGCGGGCACAGTCGAGGTGGTGGCACTAATGGAGATGGTGGGGGTGGTGAAACGGTGAGGGGGGTGGCTAGCTGGGGGTGCTGGAGGTGGTGAGAGCGGTGAGGGCGGTGTGGGCGGTGAAGGCGGTGTGGGCGGTGAGGGCGGTGGGGGCGCGAGGGGGTCCGGGCACACATTGGCAGCCTTTACACACTCTTTAATAAATACTCTTTAAACACCTACAGATGCAGCGGGCGGTGAGAGCTGTGAGAGTGGTGGATCGGCACGGTACGTGAAAGCGGTGGAGGCACAGCGAAAACGTGGGATGGGGGTGGTAGAGGTGGTGAGGGCGGTGAGGGCGGTGTGGGCGGTGAGGGCGGTGGGGGCGGTGGGGGCGCGGGGGGGTGCGGGCACACATTGGCAGCCTTTAAATGCTCTTTAACACCTACAAATACAGCGGTTAACTCCTTTGACAGAACACTGGGAGTGGCGGCAGTGCTGGAGGTGGTGGGGGGGGGTGAGGGGTGAAAGCTGTGAGGGCGGTGGAAGCGGTGAAGGCGGTGAAAGCGGTGCGAGAACAGTGGAGGTGGTGGCGCAGTAATGGAGATGGTGGGGGTAGTGAAAACGGTGGGGGCGGTGGCTGGGGGTGGTGGAGGTGGTGAGGGCGGTGAGGGCGGGCACACATTGGCAGCCTTTAAATACTCTTTACCTTTTAAGCACCTACAAATAAAGCGGGCGGTGAGAGCGGTGGAGACGGTGGGAACGGTGAAAGCGGTGGAGGCACAGTGCAGGCGTGGCAGTAATGGAGATGGTGGGGGTGGTGAAAACAGTGGGGGCGGTGGTGGGGGTGGTGAGGGCGGTGAGGGCGGTGGGGGCGGTGGCGGTGGGGGCGCCGGGCACACATTGGCAGCTTTTAAATACTCTTTAAACACCTACAAACACAGCGGTTAACTCCCCTGACAGAACACTAAGTGTGGTGGCAGTGGTGGAGGTGGTGGGGGTGGTGAGGGCGGTGAGAGCCGTGAGGGCGGCGGAAGCGGTGGGGGCAATGAGAGCGGTCCGGGCACAGTGGAGGTGGTGGCAGTATTCTGGACATGGTGGAGGTGGTGCAAACGGTGGGGGCGGTGGCTGGGGGTGCTGGAGGTGGTGAGGGCGGTGGGGGCGTGGGGGGGTCCGGGCACACATTGACAGCCTTTAAATGCTCTTTGAACACCCACAAATACAGCGGCGGAAGACTCTTTAAACAGAGCAGCACTGGAGGCGGTGGGGGCAGTCTGGTACATAGGCAGGTGAGGGCAGTGAGGGCGGTGAGGGCAGCGGTGAGGGTGGTGTGGGCGGTGGGGGCGGTGGGGGTCCGGGCATACATTGGCAGCCTTTAAATACTCTTTAAACACCTACAAATACAGCGGCGAAAGACTCTTTAAACAGAGCAGTGGAGGCGGTGGGGGCAGTCTGGTACATAGGCAGGTGAGGGCAGTGAGGGCGGTGAAGGCGGTGTGGGCGGTGGGGGCGGTGGGGGCGCGGGGGGGTCCGGGCATGCATTGGCAGCCTTGAACATAGTCTTTAAACACCTGCAAATACAGCGGCGAAAGACTCTTTGAACAGAGCAGTGGAGGCGGTGGGGGCAGTCTGGTACATAGGCAGGTGAGGGCAGTGAGGGCGGTGAGGGCGGTGGGGGCGGTGGGGGCGGTGGGGGCGCGGGGGGGCGCGGGGGGGTCCGGGCACACATTGGCAGCCTTTAAATACTCTTTAAACACCTACAAATACAGCGGCGAAAGACTCTTTAAACAGAGTCTGGTACATAGGCAGGTGAGGGCAGTGAGGGCGGTGAGGGCGGTGAGGGCGGTGGGCGGTGGGGGCGGTAGGGGCGCGGGGGGGTCCGGGCATACATTGGCAGCCTTTAAACACTCTTTAAACACCTACAAATACAGCGGCGAAAGACTCTTTACACAGAGCAGTGGAGGCGGTGGGGGCAGTCTGGTACATAGGCAGGTGAGGGCAGTGAGGGCGGTGGGGGCGCGGGGGGGTCCGGGCATACTCTTTTAACACCGACAAATACAGCGGCGAAAGACTCTTTAAACAGAGCAGTGGAGGCGGTGGGGGCAGTCTGGTACATAGGCAGGTGAGGGCAGTGAGGGCGGTGAGGGCGGTGGGGGCGGTGGGGGCGCGGGGGGTCCGGGCATACATTGGCAGCCTTTAAATGCTCTAAACACCTACAAATACAGCGGCGAAAGATTCTTTGAACAGAGCAGCGGAGGCGGTGGGGGCAGTCTGGTACATAGGCAGGTGAGGGCAGTGAGGGCGGTGAAGGCGGTGGGGGCGGTGGGGGTCCGGGCATACATTGGCAGCTTTTAAATACTCTTTAAACACCTACAAATACAGCGGCGAAAAACTCTTTAAACAGAGCAGTGGAGGCGGTGGGGGCAGTCTGGTACATAGGCAGGTGAGGGCGGTGGGGGCGGTGGGGGCACGGGGGGGTCTGGGCATACATTGGCAGCCTTAAATACTATTTAAACACCTACAAAGACAGCGGCGAGGGCGGTGGGGGCGCGGGGGGGTCCGGGCATACATTGGCAGCCTTTAAATACGTACTCTTTAGACACCTACAAATACAGCGGCGAAAGACTCTTTAAACAAAGTTGGGCAGGTGAGGGCAGTGAGGGCGGTGAGGGCGGTGTGGGCGGTGAGGGCAGTGAGGGCGGTGAAGGCGGTGGGGGCGGTGGGGGTCCGGGCATACATTGGCAGCTTTTAAATACTCTGTAAACACCTACAAATGCAGCGGCGAAAGACTCTTGAAACAGAGCAGTGTAGGCGGTGGGGGCAGTTTGGTACACAGGCAGGTGAGGGCAGTGAGGGCGGTGAGGGCGGTGGGGGCGGTGGGGGCGGTGGGGGCGCGGGGGGGGGTCCGGGCATACATTGGCAGCCTTAAATACTCTTCAAACACCTACAAATACAGCGGCGAAATACTCTTTGAACAGAGCGGTGGAGGCGGTGGGGGCAGTCTGGTACATAGGCAGGTGAGGCAGTGAGGGCGGTGTGGGCGGTGGGGGCGGTGGGGGCGCGGGGGGGTCCGGGCATACATTGGCAGCCTTTAAATGCTCTTTAAACACCTACAAATACAGCGGCGAAAGACTTTTTGAACAGAGCAGTGGAGGCGGTGGGGGCAGTCTGGTACATAGGAAGGTGAGGGCAGTGAGGGCGGTGAGGGGCGGTGTGGGCGGTGGGGTGCGGTGGGGGCGCGGGGGGGTCCGGCATACATTGGCAGCCTTAAACATAGTCTTTAAACACTCACAAATACAGCGGCGAAAGACTCAAAACCAGAGCAGTGGAGGCGGTGGGGGCAGTCTGGTACATAGGCAGGTGAGGGCAGTGAGGGGTGAGGGCGGTGGGGCCGGTGGGGGCGCGGGGGGCGCGGGGGGGTCCGGGCATACATTGGCAGCTTTTCTCTTTAAAAACCTACAAATACAGCGGTGAAAGACTCTTTGAACAGAGCAGTGGAGGCGGTGGGGGCAGTCTGGTACATAGGCAGGTGAGGGCGGTGTGGGGGCGGTGGGTGGGGGTCCGGGCATACATTGGCAGCCTTTAAAAATTCGAAAAACCCATACAAATACAGCGGCGAAAGACTCTTTGAACAGAGCAGTGGAGGCGGTGGGGGCAGTCTGGTACATAGGCAGGTGAGGGCAGTCAGGGCGGTGAGGGCGGTGGGGGCGGTGGGGGCGCGGGGGGGTCCGGGCATACATTGGCAGCCTTTAAATACTTGTTAAACACCTACAAATACAGCGGCGAAAGATTCTTTGAACAGAGCAGTGGAGGCGGTGGGGGCAGTCTGGTACAAGGGCAGGTGAGGGCGGTGAGGGCGGTGTGGGCGGTGGGGGCGGTGGGGGTCCGGGCATACATTGGCAGCCTTTAAGTACTCTTTAAACACCTACAAATACAGCGGCGAAAGACTCTTTGAACAGAGCGGTGGAGGCGGTGGAAGCGGTGTGGGTGCGGACACCTCTCGGGATATCACGGGCGCCGCCCGCAGGGGTCGGCGGATATGTATATACATATACAGATAGACAGATAGATAGATAGATAGATCGACAGCCAGCACATACAGGTTCACGTGTGGGAGTTGCTGTTGTGACGAGGCGGCTGACTCTCATCCAGGGCCCGCCGGGTGCCGGGAAGACGACGACCGCGCTGCTGCTCGTTCGCGGCTGGACCCACCGAGTGTCTTCTTCTTGTTGCTACTTGTTGTCTCCTTGTCCCTTTTCCAGTCCTCGGCACATCCCCGCGCACGTGTCCATGCCCACACCCAGCCCATTCCGATCGTGCTTGCGGATTACAGGCACAGAGACGCTAGCCGCCATCAGGCTGCGTCACTTAGACGATGCCTTGGCAATGAGCAGCCTCAGGGTGTTAACACACTGCCATGTTCCAAGCTCACAAAGTCCGGCGCAATCCGGACCCTCGAAGACAGTGTTTTCCAGATGAATGTAGGGTCTCGTCCCAGCCCATCAGGAACGTTCGGTCCATGTCGAGCTGCATTGCTCTGGTGGACGGGTGTTGTCCAAAACGGTTTGGGGTCCTGATGCACGAAGTCCCTTTCGTGCTGTGGTCTTGCCGAAATGCCTAGGCCTTTTTCGTTTCAGAACCCGACCGACACGGTTTGTCGAAAAATGCCCCAAACACAAACACGAGCGCTGGCAGCCAACGATAGTCTTGCGAAGAGGGCAACACTCGGCACTGGATTGTTCCACGGGGCTGCCGCGACGCTGTCATTGCTCTTCCCCCAGACAGTGCCGCGATGCCAGACACTGCCAACGTCAAGGAAGAGAACAAGAAGCTTCGTTTAGCGTTCACTGGCAAGATTCGAAGCAATGCCCCGCCTGGAGCATCAGGAAAGGCAAATAGCTTAGATTTTGAGACCGCAATGTTATCAACTCGAGATCAAGCTTCAGGTAGTTGCCGTTGCTTTTGTCTGTGTGTTCATAGCGAACCTCTTCCGCTTGTCCTCCCAATCTTTTGTTATGCAGGACGGCTGCACGGCGTGGGCCTGTGCTTTGCTGCGCAGACAGCAACATCGCCGTGACTTAGCCGAGTTTTGGGCCCTGTGAAACCCTTGTCGAGAGCCTTGCTCTCAGTTCTCCTGTTATGTCCTGTTGTCAGGTGGACAACTTGACGGCCGGCTGTGCGAAAGCGGGGCTCAGGGTCGTTCGTATTGGTCGGCCGGAGGCGACGCGCTACGACCTGGAGAAGTTCAACCTCCTTGAGATGGTGAAGGCGACTCGGGTGCCCTTGGAAACCGAAGGCTCGTGCAAGGCCATATCAAAAGTTTTCACTGCCTGTAGCTGTCTACTGAGGATGCCAAAGCGCAAGATCCAAATGCGGAGGACAGGGGTCACTTCGCTCATCAGAGGGCCATTCTGGAAGATGCAGAGGTTGTCTGCAGTACCTGTGCCGGTGCAGATCATCCGGTGTTACAAGGCAAGGAGTTTGGATGTGTTCTTATTGATGAAGCTGGGCAGACAACAGAGCTGGCTGTCCTGGTTCCTCTGATGAAGATGCGAGCTGATGGTGTGGTCACCCTTGTGGGTGACCACCGACAGCTGCCTCCGACCATCAGCAACGTCGATGTAGATGTCGAGGGTCTGGGGACGTCCCTTTTCGAGCGCCTATCGTCCCATGGGGTTGAGCCTTTCATGCTGGACGTACAGTACCGAATGCATCCTGCAATTGCAGCATTCCCTGCTGTGGCCAGCTACAATGGCAAACTGCGTTCTGGAGTTTCCGGTGCCATGAGAAAAGCTCCACAAGGCATCGCCTGGCCTTTGCCAGAGGCTCCGGTCACCTTCCTGCCTGTTGAGGGCAAGGAAAAGTCTGAAGGAACTTCCTGGTTCAACGAGACCGAAGTGGAAGCTGTTGAGGCGCTTCTGGGCAGCGCACTCGCCTGGAACGACATTGCACCCACCGAGATTGGCGTCATCACGCCCTACGCAGCGCAGGCTGTGATGGGGCCGGGACGGGATTTCAGCCTGAGGAGATCCCGTCGCAAGAGCGCAATCATGGCCATAAGACCATCGAACCCAAAGTTGAGTGTGGACATCTCAGTATGAAAGTATACGTCTCTTCAGAAATCATGAGTTTCAAGGCATGCTCTAGCTCCGAGAGAGGCCCGGCTGATCCGCCGTCGCTTGGGCTGTCCTCCGCCGGGCAAGAGGGCGGCTGCAGGGGCCGTGGGCGTCGCTTTGGTGGAGGTGAGCAGCGTCGATGGGTTCCAGGGGCGTGAGAAGGAACCGGGCTCTTGGCAAGGGGTCTCGTTAAGGTGCCTCTCCTTTCTTCTTCAAGTTCCTAGCTCTTCATGACAGCCCTGAAAGTTGAATGATTAAGACAGGGGCGGTGACACTCTGAGGACCTGATCATCGTCTCCACCGTCAGGGCCAACACCAGTGGCAAAGTGGGCTTCCTGGGCGACCCGAGGCGATTGAACGTCACGATCACCCGCTCTCGCAGGGGCCTCGTGGTGGTGGGCCACTTCGACACCCTGTCAGCGGACGAGCACACCTGGAGACCCTGGCTGACATGGGCGCAGGTGCCAACAGCTAAAACTTCGGCACAGCCAACAGATCAAGCATCCAGTCACATCTTGTTGAATTTGATAGGCGAATGTTCTCCCTCCAAAAGATTGCTAATTGACTGGTAATTTCTTTGTGTGGGTTGCAGGGTTGCTCTCAAGCTCAACTTCGAGGTTGAAGCGTTTAGCATGCCAGCTCGCCTGTGGCAGGGATTTAAACAATTGCATGCCGCAAGCCACTGCAAGGCTAAGGTGATGTGCGAGTACTGTGTAGTTGTGTTTCGCCAGTTGCTGGCGGCATCTAGGCTTTCTTGGAGCGAAAGCAAGTCGCCAAGACCTGTGGGGCAGGAGCGCGGTCTCGTTGCTGGATGCGAAGCCAGCAACCCAACAGCGGTCGGAGCCCTGAAGCAGCCGCTTGGACCAGAGAGAAAGACTTAAAGAGACAGGGAGAGAGTTCATGCTGGACACAGAGTCGAACTATTCCCCACAGCTACTCGCCCAGGTTGGAACTTCTGACGGAGGATCAGCTTCTGAAAGCGCTCGATGCGACGTACACGACGCAGAAGCAGTGAGTGTGCAAAAGGAGAGTTTGGGGTCCCCTTGGGTTGGTGCCTTGGCGGTGACAGTTCAAGATGTCTCTTTGCTTCCGGCATCTTCGTGTTCCCCCCTAGTTTAGCTCGATGCTCCTTATTCGACTTGACGGGCCAAACTGCTCAATACCTCTTTCTTCGAAAGTGTGTCCAGGATGGATGATGCTCCGAAAATCCTTAGAAAGCCAGGGTTTTGCAGAAGGCCAAAACCAGCCAAAGCCCAAGCAGATGAAGCGAGGCCCGCTGACCCCCCACAAGCTGGAGTCGCCCTCCGGCCAGCTGAGGCGCGCGCTTCGTTGCTTCTTTGGGCCACTTTCTCTCCCCTTCTCTCTCTCTCTCTTTCTCTGTGTTCCGTCTTCGAGTGCAGACGCCTTGTTTGGTGGAGGATGCAGTTCATTTTCTTGTACTACGACCAGAACCGCAACGGCCGCTTGGAGGTGGAGGAGGCCCCTCTAAGGGACTAGACAGGATTCTTGGCCCCTGAGATGGACAGATCAGGTCGCAAAGATGATCGAGCACATCCAGCAGCTGCGGGGGGAGAGCCATTCCGATGCCCTCGCCAACGCCAAAGTGCCGGGCCCAGCACAAGCCGGCACCGCCAAGCCGCCAAGCCCCCGCCGGTCTCTTCTGTCTCTTCGGGTGCTTCAAGGCCCTCGTTTCCTACTACTCAGCGTCCTTCGGCTCCTTCGGCTTTGCAGCCTTCTACGATGCGGCGCAGAACAGGAGCTGCTTTGACTCACGCGATGGAAAGCGTCTTTCGGGTCGCCAGAGTTGCAACGAGATCCGCGCCCAGTGTGTGCCTGCTGAGCATCTGCGGTTTCTGCCGGGGAGGATGCTGAATGGAACATCGCCGCTGCTGCGCACGCAGCAGGCTCATGCAGTGCGGTATGGTGCAGCGCAGTCTTTACGAAGGCCTGGAAGCCGCAACCTCACAGGATCTCCTTGAAGTCATGAAGCAGCACTCGCAGAGATCACCGGCAGGGTGGCGGTCTCAGCCACTGCACAGTTTGGCTCTGAAGACAGCCAGTTTGAAGTTTGGACCTTGTTGAAGCCGGGTGTCTGGGTCGCGTACCATGCACCCCCAGTCAGAAAGGTCTCGGGGGCTGTTGGTTGTTTCCCAAACGCCTGGCAACTCCTTGCAGGCTTGGGAGGTCCATGAGGAGAGAGTGTTTCACATCACGTGCTTTCGAATCTTTCCGAAGCTCACTGAAGCCCGACTGTCGAATGCCTTGGGGCACCCGCCAGTGGTTTCTGCGTTGATCTCCACTGCAAGGGTGTGTCTGGCGACAGCCTCCTCAAACATTTCGGAGGAATAAGGTTGCGTGAGAGCCCGGTCAGCGAACTTAGGTCGGATGAGCTCGCGTCGCTCTCTTCTCTTGCCGGCTTGACCCCAACACTAACTTGGCCAGTGAATGCATTCAAAGTTCAGAGTCTGAGGCCCCACGCCGGCAAAGGCCGGTCTTGCAACGGAGTTTGGAAAGTGGAAGAGTTTCTGTTGTGGAGGCGGGTGGCACCAGCAACGGCAGCATGACTGGCTCTCAGAATTGCAGCAACGAAATGCCGTTTTCATCAGGCTAATAGGCTAATCCAGTCACCCCTTGCTCTGGAGGTCGTCTGTTTTACTTCTCAGTCTTAGTCTATTGAGCTTGTGCTCTTGTGCTCTTGCTTCAGCGAGGCCCTCGCTGCCTTCGAAAGCCGTGGCCACCAGATCGCAGCGAGGAGCCTCAAGCGAGCTGCGGCCTCGAACACACAAGAAGAAGAAGGGTTTTGATTCCGCCGAGTTTTTTGTTGAGGTGGCGCTGGGGCGAACAAGGCCGAACACCCAAAGCCCTCCTGAGAAGCCCCCGCAAGTGTGTCAGCTCGCGCGCCTGAAAGGTGGGGTGCAGGCACGAAGGGCCGGCGGGACGAGGGGGGGGGGGAAAGCGCCGCGAACACGAACATGCCAAGAGAAGACGCCTTCTAGTTGGGGAAAAAAGTGTTAGACGAAACTTTCGCGGCTGGAGCCTGGAGGCCCTGGCGCTCCGCGTGGTGAGGAGTTTGATGGACATGTCGGCGCCCTGGGAGCGGCGAGCCTCCCCCGTTTTCCTTTTCACCCTCTAGGTCCAACGAGAAGAACCAGCCCATGGCTGAATGGAGGCAGCGGCTTCTTCTCACAAAGGGAGCTTTCGAGGCGCATCGAAGTGGACCCGACTCAGGTATAACCTTCAACTTGTCAGCACGCGCGAGTTCTACCTCCTGTGCCAGGGGCCGAATCCACTGAAGCACGTGGCAAAATCTTGCGGCAAAGCTTGTCTCAGGCGACACTGTGGTGGAGCTCCTCCGACAGGAAGATTCCTTGGTGGAGGCCCCTTGGCTTTTGATTCAAGGGCCAACGGGGATGAAGAGAGCGCCAGAGTTGTGGAACGTTTTAGGTGCGCTTTCCTTGTCGAGTCTACGGAGACATCCATGGGCCGATAGCCCGTCTGGGAGGAGCCATGCTTGGATCTCATGGGCTTCGAGTCGTCTGAGGCAGCTACTGGACCTCTTGGAGTTCTTCAACGCCTTCTCCTGGCCAGCGCGGCTCCCAAGATCTCCCCGAAAGAAGAGCTTGAGGCTTACGGTACGGTACATGTGTGTCAGAGGACAAGCGGCGTGGAGACATCTTCTCGATGAACTATGCCGGGCGCCCGTCGGACGGAAGCCCGAACTCTTCTTCGGCTGTTCTTAAACCTTCTACACTGCTTTTTGAGGTGTTCTTGGGCGACTTCGTCGACAGGGGCGCCTATTCGTCCAAAGCTCGGCGGCGGCTGTCGCCAGCAGCGTGCCAGCGACGGTTTAGCGGCGACGAGTCGGTGAACTTAGGTGCGATGTGGTTTCCCTGCTCTTTTCGCTGAAGATCCTGTATCCCCAACGGGTCTTCCTGATCCGAGGGAACCACGAGGTGATTGGACTAGAGCCGCCGTTTTCTGCCAGCCTCCCGAGATGCTGGAGAGGACCGGCTGATGAACGTGAACTACGGCTTCCACGCCGACTGCACCAGGCATGCCACTGCGAGGGCTCCCGAAGCCGCAATCTTGTTGAAGTTCCTTGGAGGAAGTTCGGAAGGGATGGCGATGGCATCTGGGAGCGTTCCCAGCTCAGACTCAGGTCCCCATTGAAATGACCGACTCTGCTTGTCTGGGCATTTCAAGGTGTCAATGACGTCTTCGAGTTCCTTCCCATCGCAGCGCTGGTGGAAGGACCACTAGACTCCCAAAGCCTCTCCTAAAGTAAGTTCCGCTGCTATGTTGGTTTGGAGCTCCTGCGGCGAAGGAGCGATCCTTTGCATCCACGGCGGCATCGGGGACTCCATCACCCAGTTGGACGACCTGCGCGGGATCCCGAAGCCCATTCAGGCGATGACCGGATGATCGCAAGTCTTCAGGAGCTTAGGGCCCTGGGGGGGGGAGGTCGTCGGCGAAATCAACGAAAGGACGGGCTGAATCACTACGGGCGCCCGTTGGTGTGCGCGTTGATGTTTTGTCGGTCTGGAGGACCACCCGTCGAGACCGAATGGTGCTGGATGCGCTCTGGTCCGGGCCTTCGTCCTTTGTGGGGACCCTCTTGGAGAGCCGAGAGCTCCTCGAGGTCGGATCCGACGGACAACGACCAGGTCCTCGGCGTTCATGCCCAGACCTCGGGTGAGAGACGGTGGAGGCTGCGGAGGAGGGGTAGTAGCAGGACTAGGCCTAGGTGGGACTCAGGTCTCCCCAAGGGGCAAGAACACCTGTCGCTTCGGCCCGGATCGCGTGCAGGCGGGGCCCGAAAACACATCCGCTTCCGTGATTTGCCCAACATTCGCATTCTCGCAGAGTTCTCTCAGTGTCGCAGTGGTCCTGCGGCTGCATGCACAAGCAACGTCTAGGCATTCCCCGAAGTCGCAGGACTTCAACCGCCGGAACTCGTTGAAGCTGATCATCCGCGCGCATGAGTGTGCCCGGCTCCTGAGCCGTCAAGTCGATCAGTTCCCCTTGCGTCCACTGGATGCCTTCGTCTCGATTCCGAAGATCTAGTCGTCTGTGGACGTCAAGCTCGCCTTCGTCCCCAGGTCCAGCACGGCTACGAGTACTTTGCCGGTGGTCAGCTGCTGACCGTCTTCTCAGCCACTGTCTGAGAGGTTCCTAATTTTTCTTGCCCCCCTTTTGGGCGTTTCAGCATTTCCTTGTCTCAAGGCCACCAACTACTGCAATCAGCACGACAACGATGGAGCGATGGTCGTTCTGGTGAAGGAGTGCTCCGCTTTGCTTGGAGAACCCGAGGAAACGAGTCCTTCAACCCAAGACCTCCGGAGGATGACCGTACAGGAGAGGTGGTCGAACATGCTCAGGTCATCAAGAGTGGCACGGTGAGGATCTCAGCAATTGACAAGCCAACAAACCTCGCTTGTCTTGACGTCTTTCGGAGGAGGCCTGGGGTCTTTCTGGGTCCCCTCTTCGAAACGTAGCGCTTCTCGGGAGGTCTCCTTATCTAGAGTCTCTACTCTCAGCCTCATGCAGCTGCAACGTGCCACGCCACGCCATCCCTCCGGCTCCGGAGGCCGCAGTCAGAAAAAAGCAAGAGGTTGCTTGTTATGGAGAAACCTGACGAGGAGACAGAAGAGGTAGAAGCGGGAGAAGTGCATGAGGCCTTTGAGAGTGCGATCTCGGTGATCTTGAGGTGGACACCTCCTATGGCTGGAACGACCAGCAGTTTCGAGCGTTCATCGCTTAGCCCTGCAGTTCCGCTCTTCCTGTCCCCTTCCCAGTCGTTTCTCTTCTTGCGAGGCCCTCACCGATGCGGCGAACGGGGCATGGGCACTGATCTTGATCTGGTCGCCACCTTCTTCGCTCATTGTACCATACAATGTCACACAGATGCAAAGCTTCTGAGCTCGCTGTGTCACCCACTCGTTAATGAGATCTGCCCCGAAGATGATCCGGGCTGTCGTCCCACGAAAAAGCCACGAGATTCAACGATACTCTTCGTAGCTTCCCACCTGAAGCTGGGTGGATTGAACGGATGCGTGGATCACTGCCACTGTGGCTCCAGTGAAGCAGCACCCAAAGGGATGCCCGAACTGTCGCTTTGCCGTTGCCACGAGGAGCTTAAGCTGTCAATCCCGTTTCCCCGCGGCTCGCATCAGGCAGAATCCAAACTACTCTTCACTTCCGAATGCGATTAGAGCAAATCTTTGGAAGCTGCCCTGGGCTCGCGGATGGGACCATGCACATGATCGAGCAGGTGATGGCCTAGCCATGCCATGATGGGTGTTAAGGTGCAAGTGACCTTTACTTACTTTAAGTCGAAGTGCCGAGGTGTTTGGGAGGTACAGAGGTAGCAAGCAGAAGCATGACGAGATGCACAGGCAACGCACCCTGTCAGGTCATGCCCGGTCCGCCAGATAGCGAGGCAAGTGACGAGCTACAGGTAGTCGAGGTCATCAAGAGTCCGCTGGACATGGAACTCGAAGATTGCACAGCAACCCCAGCTGGCGGGCAAGATGACGTGAGAGTTGATCGGGTGACCGGTCCGCCTGATAGCAAGGTGTTTCAAGAGGCAGTTGACGAACCGAGTCCTTCTGGCACACGGAATGATGATGGGCATCAGCTGGTACGTCAGTTGGCGGAAGCTGCTTTTACATGCCACACTGCGAGCAGGCGCAGCAATTTTCATCCTTGCCTGCCTTGTGTACTTGCTCTTGCGTGTCAGACCACTTGTAAAAGCGCATACGTGGACCAGAGTGTCGGCCCATGCCTGTGTTGTTTTCAGTCTGGAAAGAGAGGATGTGCAGAAATGCAACCGTCTACGAAGCATCGGATACCTCACTCTCAGCAGTGTTGGCAACAGCACAGTGTACTGACTAACATAATTTGACTGCACTCTGCATCTTCCGGCCTACTTACCTGTTACCTGCTTACCTAGTTGCCGGCACAACATCTGGGCTGCAAACTGTATGTTGATAGGTACACTACAATGCACATGTACACACTGCTCAATACTGCAAGTGCACACTCTGCTCGTCTGCATCGCTATTGAGACTGAAGACTGAATGAATGCATCATATCATTGACTTGCCTCTTGACGAGTCTTGACCGGGCCGCTACGCACAGGCTAGATTTCTGCAATACTTTCATGTCTCATACCTGGACAGTTTGTTTGCCCTGACGCGTGATTGTGTGGTCTTCCGGTGTCCCATCGTCTTCCAGAGGTGCATAAACACGCTGGGTCATGAGCATGTGTAGGTTTATGATGTCCCGGTCCTGTTAACGTCATTATCTCGGGAAATAGTAAATAATGGGAATATTTTGAGATTGCAGATGGAATCGAGGCACTCAGGCAATCAAACAAGCGATGGGAAAACAATGGAAAATATGGGATTGGAATCCCGTTGCATTTTGACTTCAATGTTTCTCCGATTTGGTTGCAGGGTGCACTTGGCATCTGATTTTTGTTTCATTTTTTTTCCATAGTTCCCGTGCGGCACCGATCCATCTCATTTTTTTCATTTTTGGTTCCGTTTCTTTTCCATTTTTGGTTCCATTATTTTTACATTTTTTTTGTTTTTTTTTTCGATTTTTTCCCAAATGCTTCAGGGAATTTGTGTTTTTTCCAAGATGGAGGCCACCTGGGACGGGGCCCAAATCCCACCCCCACGCAATGGAAAAAACATGGGAAAAAACACACTCAGAATGCTGGTCCAGGGTGGTCCTTTTTTGAACCTGTCGCCCCTGATGCCCTGGCCCTGACAGTTTGTCTTTGTTTGCGTTTGATTTATTTTTGTTTTTTTTTTCCATGTTTGGTTTCGTTTTTTTTGTGTTTTTTCCATTCCCTGTGTCGGTCCTGGTCTCTTGTTTTGATTTTTGGTTCCATTATTTTTTCATTCCTTTTCCATTTTTATTGGTCGTGGTTTCCATAGAGTTATCAGGCGAGGGGCCATCTTAAGTGTAGGTGCGTCATGTTTTTAGTCGGGTGTTGGGCAAAGCTTGAGCCTTTGCAGCTTGGCCGTCCCTGGGCATCTGCCTTGCTGTTCCCACTCCCCTGTTCAGTTTCGCCTTTCTTGACGACCTCGAAAGCCCGAAGCCCCGCAGCATCTCTGGCTGTGGCTTCACAGCATTTGTATTTTCGGCCGTCGTGTCCATTGTCCGGGCCTCTGAGGACGGGCGGAAAGGCCATCTTGCAATTCCGAGAAGCAGCTGGTTGTGCATTGAGGGCGCGATTGACATCAGACGGCTTGCAAGTCGATGATGGTGTTGGAGTTGTTGTACTGTGGAGGTATTTTGGGGATGGAGATGTGAGGCTGCGGCTGCCAGAAGCGAGCAACGGTTGCAGCAGGCACGGGTGGATGTGCATCCGAGGTTGCTTGAAAAGCTTTTCTCAAGGTTCTTATAGGATTTCAGGGAAAGCACAGAAAAAACAACAAGCCTATAGACCGGCCCTAACGCTGAATACTATGACGTCTTTGCCCGAACCCTCAAAAGAAAGGTTGGGGTCAATAGGATGTACGTTCTCATAGTTCACTTGGAGGTGAAGGGTGGATAGCTGTAACTGAGGTAAAGTAGGTATCAAGGCATAATTAAGATAACTAGGTCAGGCGTCTACAAATCCTACGCCGGAAGCTAACGTAGTCGGCTCTGAAGGGATGCCAAGCTGTGACCCGCTGGCCCCTCTTTAGTTGTGGGTTTCTTTGGCTTTTGGACCCAGAAGCTGCTGTCACATTGAGTTTGTAGCTTCGGGACACTCATGGGAGCTCAGGGACCTTCTTCGTTCATAATCCTAGGAGTTTTGGACGACAAACTGGTAACTCCGGTAAGGGCCGCTTGGCATCGGCATGGAAAGGATAGCCAGTATGGGGCAACAGTATGCAGTAAGGGGTGCTGGGAACTTAGGATATTTGGCTCAGTCATTTCGCAGGATGCCGTAGGCCCATTGGGCTTCACAAAGAAGTCCAAGCTTAGACATTTTGTTTTGACACGTTGTGATCGTTGCTCGTAGTGTTGTCTGACGCTCTTTCTTGAACCTTTGTCGCAAGATTTCTGATTTGAACTATAGACCCCACTCCGTACTGGCACCTTCAAGTCAGATTCGCACTTAGACGAGCTGCAGGTATAGTTAATAAGCATTCCCTTGCCAGCCTCTCAATCTTTCGAACTTGCCTGTGGAAGCAATCGAGCGACTGCAGTGCCAAGTACAAAAGCATGGGCCACGCAGAGTGCTTGTGCCACGCAGATGAGTTTCAGAGATAATCAGGCTTTGTGTGGAAGGAGAGTCAAGGGTCCAGGATCTCGCCTTTTTTGGTGGCCACGTCCCTTGAAGTTGGGTTGGGGTTTGCAAGTCTCCTCCTCCTTCGGATTTGTGTTTGTGTCTCTGCCGGAATTGCCCATTGCCTACTCACGAGCTGGGGTTCATTCAGCCTCAGGTGAACAAATAGGCTTGACTCATTGGACCTGAAGTCCGGCATCCTCAGTCAGCTGGGCCATTCACCGTGTAGCCCGATGGTATTCCACCTCCATAAGCATATGAATTTGCATGACATCCCCCTGTGCCTCGCTAATGGATCTGGTCCAGGCTGCGGCATGGGATCAAACTGGACAACTGGATCCTGATGACCGCTTCGCATTTGATGACTGGATGGAAGGGATGCCGGGCGAACCTAGGCTGTGGAGATCAAATCTGAGGCTTCCAAGAGCGTGGGATTGCAAAACCTATGAGGGCGAGGCAGGCAGCTGCAAGACCGCTGCGCAGGATTCCGCCATCAGGCTTTTCTTGATCGACGAAGATGAAGTATTGAGAATCATGGACATGTGTCAGCGCAGGCCGTACGGGAAGCCAGACAGACCAGACAAGAGTCGCAAGACGGTTGATGCCTGACATGATGATGAAGATGATGGCGTGGGATTTGGTACCGCAGGCTGCGCTTCTCGGAAGGTGGCCGTACGGTAAACATCGGTGTCGATTTCTCACAGATGCGTTTTAATTCAGCTTGGAAGGCAACATTAATTAGAGCATAGAGTCATAACGTAGCATTGATTCAGTTTGAGCTTGTTGCCAACAGTAATTTGTACAGTATGTTGCAAATTCGACCTGGATCTGCAACAAGATGCAGGCCGATCATTTGCCCTCCTGAGTCTAAAAACTGTCGCATGGACACAATGCAGGTTCACCTGTCCCCCGTCGCATGAGCCCTCTGCCCACAGCTGCTTGCAGGTCATGTTACCCAGCTCGGCGGATGCGTCTGTGCTGCGGCACTTTCGCCCTGCTTACGCTGGAGAAGGGGTGTTAGTGTAGCTGCGCCTGTTAAAGATTTCATGCCCCCGCAGCCCTCGCAGCATAATTTACGGTTTTCCTTACCCGTCCTCGATGAACTGTTGTCAGTGTTTGCAGCAATAAGCACTGCGACTAATTTTTGCTATAGGTTTTTTTGTTCCGGAGAGCATTGTCGATGCCCGTTCTGGGGGGTCCCAAGCCTTGGCGCAGGATCCGCGTCCAGGCGAAAGGCATGTCGACCTTCCCGAGCTCACAAACCCAAAGCCCCCTACAAGCTGATCCTTGTCCCTTCGAAGTTCAAGCCAGATGTAAGGCCTTTCCGAGTGGCAGGAATGCGCGATGCAGATGGCTGCCTTTGGAAAAAATCACCGCAAGGCGGGCACACGGGCCCAACCTTTATACCCCCCAAAGTATGTGTCGTTGCGGGATCTGATCTCGGCTTTTCTCCTGACCCTGACATGATCTCGCCGAGGTCTATGCTACCATTTCGATTCACTGTCCGCAAAGTTTTGGCGTTGTTCTCAGTTGCCCACTGCTCCTTAGATCGTGCATTGGGA